CATCTGAAAAGTTACTTAAGTTCACTTAAACTGCAGATAAACTCATTCCCTCCCTCCCTTTCACATAGCTAACCATAAACTCATTAAGAGAAAAACAATGTCATGAAGATAAGAACCAATAGTTTTTAAAAATTGAGAAGTAGGATAAATGTTAAACCACAATGTTCCATGACTGGCAGATGGTCAACAGTATCTGGGAAATGTAAACATTTTGACAATTACATGGCATTCTTGTAAAATTCCTGAGAATGAGACAATATGGTGATATGGTTGCTACAGAAACTTGAAAAGTATATAAGCCGGATGTAAAATCCAAACTGGTGTCAACATTTTGTTTTTCTGACTTAGCATTAGGATGTCGGTTGCTGGTTTTTAATAAAGTTTCTTTGTTCCTATGCTTTCAGTCTCTAATGAGTGCTTCTCTCACTGCCCCAAAAGAGGGAACTCAGATGAGACTCTCAGAGAAGCTCCCTCCCCCTGGGTTCAATCTCCAGTAAAATATTAACTACACCAGTAAATAAATAGGTACACACATGCATGCATAAATAGGGAAGCATTGTACTTTGACAGACATCTCTTATTACGTTAAGGATGTAATTCCCTGACTGGGCTTGCATAACCACAGATTTTGATGTTGGAAAGTCATAAAACTGCAGGAAGCTACACAATGTTTACCTCCCTCCTTCACAGGCTTGACCTCCAGCAAACATTGCTCCCCTGGGAAAAGACACCCATGCTAGTTGCAGCTGAGACCTCTTTCCCAAAACAGCACAGCAAGTGGCAAGAAATAAAGATCGAACAACACACATGCTTCCCAAGTTTTAATATGTTCTCTTTCTTCCCCTGAGCTCCTTCTTATACCTCATTTGTATAAACAAAGGCCTGAGGCAGGGCATCAAGGCAGGTCCCAGCAACTGGAGGGATCATGGGTCACACAAACACACCCCTCCACTTGACCTGGGGACCTCAAACTGGCTCACTCTCATCGTTCACCTACTATGGCTGTCAGCATTCTGTTGCTGTAGTGCTGTCCCTGAGGTCTCCAAGGAGGAATGGCTGATTTGGCTAACAGTTTGGAGGTGCCACCATGCTGGAGTCCCCACGCCTGTGGCCCTGAGGAAGGCAGTACTTTATGGCAGGAGCACACCTCCACAGCCAGAAAGCAGAGAAAAGGAAGGAAGCAGGGATCCATAGCCTCCTTTGCTGGCCACCCCAGTGACATAGGATCCTCTCACTTAACCCCACATCCTAGAAGTCCTTTCACTTTCCAGTGGCACTGCCCTGGAGACTCAGCTTTCAGCACAAGGACCTTTGCAGGACACTTGTCCAACTGTGGCATCCAACCATGACTCTGATCCATCTCATTATGCAGAATTCATGGAGCTCACAGCCAAGAGCTGCCAATGTCTTAACTGTTCCTGCACTGCTCAAAAGTCCAAGTTCAAAGTCTTCTATGGGACTACAGGAAACTCAGCTGTGAACACCTACAGAACTCAAAAACAAGTTATATGCTTCCAAGGCTCTGGTGGAACAGGCGCAGGTTAAACATTTCTGTTCCAAAGGAGAGGGAAAGTGTCGGGGTAAGGAGTGTCAGGTGTAAGGTGAAACTGAGTCCCAGAAGGACAAACATGAAGCCCTGAGCTCCATGTGGCATCTGGGGCAGAGGCAGCCCTGCAGGGCTTGGGCAGCATTGCTGCTAGCAACAGTGACCGGGGCTGGCTCCTACCTGCTGTGTCCATGTTCTGTTACCATGACAAAGTACTCAGGAGAGTCACTGTAGAGAAAGACAAGCCCAAGTGGCTTATGGTTTCAGGAGCTTCAGTCCATGGTAATCTGCCCCAGGACTTCTACGCCTGTGGTGAGGCAGCCTTGTGGTGGATCCAAGCTGGTCACCTCAGATGACTGGGAAGCAAAGACCCAGGAAGAGAAAGAGCGGGGGTCCCAGTGTCCCCTCCAGGGAGCACCCTGATGGCCTGACTACTCCAATCCCCCCTCCTCCTAAAGGCTCTGCCCAGTAGCTCCAGACCTCCAGGGCACTCTGGAGACCCAGATTGTAGCACCAGCTCCCTTTGCTCCTACCACAACCCAGACCAGCAACTAGAATGGCACCACTTGGCCTGCCAGGCTTCCCTGGGAAGCCCTGGGTGAAGCCAGCAGAACTCAGGGAGTTGACACCCACTGAGAACCATGTCTGCTCTCTTAGGGAAAGCAGTGCTTTATTTTTAACTTCAGATTTCTATACAGTAAATCACAGAACAATAATCTGGTTTCTTCAGCCTGCAGGGCAGGAGGGTGTTGACCTGTTCAAAGTGTGTAGCTGTACTTAAGTTAGAATCCATCATATCTGGGTATGCTGGTACATGCCTGTAATCCCAGCACTCAGGAGGGTGACGCAAGAGGATTCCTGTGAGTTTGAAGAGAGGCCTGGATACATTGAGTTTAGGGCTAGCCTGAACTACATAGCAAGACCTTGACTCAAAAAAATTATAGTTCATCATCCAAACTACGAGTCTGTGTAGTGAGACCCTGTAGCCCTTGTATTAAATACATAAAAAAGAAATAAAATGGAATCAAATCAAATCATTACAGAAAACCACCACTGAAAAGGTTAAAAATAAGACAGAAAGAATGACAAAAAGCCATACATAAACAAGAAACAACAAACAAATGTTTGTTGTTTAATTGTGACCTGCCAATAATGGCCCAGAACATAAACGGATTAAACTCTCCAAACCAAAAGCATAGATGAATGGGTTTAATACAACAAACAAAAAACAAATGCCCTCGGCTGCCCAGGTGACACTCTCTGCCCTGGAGGACACAGGTGGCCAGAGTAAAGGAGGGACAAGACACTCCACAGACAGGAACCAGCGGGAACACCACTCTCCTGTCAGATAGCGCAGCCTTGAACTCAAACGTTGTAAAAAAAAAAAAAAAAAAAAGACCCAGAAGCTCACTTTACAGTGATAACAGTTTAAACTAACATGTCAAAGATGAATTGGCATATATTGACAAAGCATTTCATCCTACAGCTGCAAAATACACATTCTTCTTCCCATCTGCAAGTGGAACATCCTCCTAATCAATAGATTCTATGACACAAAGGTAAACAGGACAGAGCTAGAGGTGTCACAACAGTGGACTTTAGAACACACACAAAGCCAGGGTCACTGAGGAACTGGGTACTGGCGTAAAATCAGACCTGCAGGCTGACAGAACAGAAGGACCCCCCAGCAATAAGGCAACCGTGCTCTACAGCCAGCCTGCTTGCCGCCCGCACCCTCTCCGCGGTGCCAGGCTCCGAAGCCAGGGCACTCGCACAGCTCGCTCTCTCTTTTGAGACAGGGTCCTGCTAAGTCGCAGCACTGCCCAGGCTGAGCTCAAACTTACTGTCCCGCTTCAGCCTTCAGGATGACTGCGGTTACTGAGGAGTGCCACCATCCCAGCTCACAGCCAACTTATTTCCAGTCACCTCCTCTTTGTCCTGGCCACTCTTCTGGCCAGAATGTTCTGCCTCGCCCCAGCCCCTAGAGCAACAGTGAGTGACTATCGACTCAAACCATGGCTCAGGATAAACTTTTTCTCCTTTCGAGTTTGTTTGTTCAGGCACACTGTCACAGCAACGGAGAGCTGAATAACACAGCTGTCCCTCGCAACCGAGTAGAACTAGCATGTGGTCCCTCAATGCACTGCAAGGTGGGTATCCTGGGGCTGCAAGGGGGAGGGGAGGAGGGTAGCCAATAACATCTCATTGTACATTTCTCTTTTTCTAGTACCAGGAACCAAACTCAAGACCTTGTGCTTGCCAGATAGAGGCTGCACTACTGAGCTATAGCCCCAGCCCTCAGTGTTTATGTCAAAACAGCTAGCATAGAGCTTTATGTTCCCAGCACAAAGAAATAATTAAAGTTCAGGGGGATGGATGAAGTGGCTGCACATTATTTATGTTGATGGAAATATCACCCTACGTCCCCACAAGCACACACAAGTACGTGTCAATTAAAACCCCAATTTAAAAAAAAAAAATTTAAAAACTCCCTCAAGGTCTTATAAACAAAGCCAGGAGTTTGGACTTTATCTTGGGGGAGCTGGTAGCCACTGAGCATGGTTAATGAACGCTGGGACTGCAGGATGAGCACGTGCTTGAAGGGTCTGTGACCCTCAGCGTTGGCTGTGTGGGAATCTGGAGCCCCGAGCAGGCTTCAGGCCCACACACTGTGGCTCTGTCCAGGCTGTCTTCCTCTCCTGCCACCTCTGTCAGAAATTAAAGGATACCAGACACTCCTTCAGGTCCACGGGGCCTGGGGGCCTGGTCACCTTGGTACAGTGACAGTCACATACACAGACAGGTTCACTCTTCCGAAGCCCCTCCATGGGGTCAGCTCTCCACAGTGGCTACCTGCCTGGGGCTCAAACACCCCTGAGAGCTGTGTTTTGTCGCAGCCCAAGGTCCTGGGGGTGGGGTGCAGTCCCATGAGGCCCTTGAGAGCCATGTGGGAGCTCAGACTGTCTCGAGCAGGTGTTGAATTACAGCCACTATTCAGAATTAGGAGCCGCAAGCTCGCGACCGTAAACCCCAGGTAACAAACACACCGCACATTTCGCAATTGCTTAGCAGGCTGTAGCTCGCCCAGTGCTGCTGATGTCTGCGCTGCGTGGTGAAAATTCAACATAACAGCTGCCACCACCGCATGGCTCGACCCAGGTCCACATGCAGTGCCGTCACGTGGCAGCTTGGAGTCACCCGCAGAGCAGCACGCCCACCTCAGACACTGGCAGAGCGCCTATCAGTGTTGTTTCTACAGTGAGCAGGTGGCTGAACACTGGTGGGGCCCCATGCTCTCCAGCAGATGCCGAGGTCCCATCCTTGTGCAATTTCCCAGGGGCTCCAAGAGCAGCCCGGGGGGAGCAGAGGTCCTGGGACTGGCACGAGGCTCAGGAACAATGCAAGGAGCAGGGCAAAGGTGGCTGGGAGGGAGAGAGGCGGAACCGGCCAAGCATGAGGTCCAGGCCAGAGAGGGAGGTGCAGGGGCCATAGGGAGGGACAGTGTCAGAGCCACATGGGGAGAGCAGATCCCGGGAATTAGTGTACAGAAAGGCAGAAGGAGACGCAGGTGCCACCAGTGTGCAGAAGACAGATCTGGAGACCCCATCCCGGGCGGGAGGAGCTGCAGGGCATGGAGCCCCCTTCAGCACACCTGGCCTCCTTGGCCAAGAATAAGGAGCTGCAGCCCTGGGGGAGCCAGGGATGCTCGGCCTGGCACCCCGAGAGGAGGGCAGGAGCAGAGGCCACTGAGTCTGGGGCACAGGAAAAGGCACAGGGGAAGGCACGGGAGCAGTGGGGGGACCCCCTGCAGTTCATCTTCACCTGCATCTCTTACTCCGTGGGCCTGGGCAATGTGTGGCGCTTCCCCTACCTGTGCCAGATGTACGGCGGCGGTGAGTGCTGGGGGTGGCCAGGCCTGGCTCTGCTAGCACCCGTGGGCCTGGGGGTGTTGCACCTGAGGCCTTAGCCTGGCAGGGACCTTGACAAACTGCAGATCTCAGAACCACAGCTCCACACCCCAGGCAGGGTGGGCTCTGCATTTCTCTACACAGAGAATCTAGGACATCTCTGCCTAAGAGGGTGGAAGCTGGGGTTGGGTGTGAGGGCTGTGGCCCACTTTCAAGTATTTTTGAATGGAATTCAATGATAGACGGATTTTCATTTTTCTGCATCTGCACTGTTCTACATCATCCTTGACAAAATGCTGAGAGAGCATGCTGCCCTGAACTGGGTGCTCGCTGAGGGCGTGCCCAGGGGCCTCGTCACCAAGGAGTGGGCTAAGGGCCTCAGGTCTGTGTCTTGGCGTGGGCCGCGGGCAGCAGGCCAGGGGTGGGGGGACCCTTCCCCTGAGCCGAGCCAGCCTCAGCCCTGCAGGGAGCAGTGTCCGGTGACACTGGTGAAAGTGAGATTGTCCTGTGACCTCTGAGGCTGGATGCTGCTGCACGCGTGTAGGCTGTGGGAAGGCAGCGGTCAGTCGGGGATTTCAAGGGAGGGAGCCACAGACAGCCTGGGCCTCCTCTGCCACTCTTCTGCTGAGGAGTCAAAACTCATGGGTGTAGGCAGGAAGGGAAGAGGCCGGGAGAACCCCCAGAAACGTCCTGAGGGAGAGGGCAGATTGCCAAGGCCCCCCTGGAGGAGCAGCTGGGCAGACCCTGCCATCACCTCCCTGGGCTCTGCCCTGGCCTTTCTGCCCATTGAGCTCCATCACCCCGGGGATAAGCAAGCAAGGGGCCAGGCTGCATCCACAGTGTGGGTGAGGGGGGCAGGGGACAGGCACCGCCAGGCGCAGGCACAAGGGCCAGGTCCCAGGGCCACTCTACATCTGCTCAGGGTGATGCACAGGCCCCTGCGTGGTCCAGACCGTGCCTGAACGCCCCCGAGTACTGGGCAGTGTGTGTGGGAGGACAGGTGCTTCCCCGTTACCTTCACCCCGAGGAGTCAGCCGGCGCTGGGCCCACCCAATCCCAGCAGCTGTGGCCTCTGAATTTTCTTCCACCCGAGGCCCCACCCTCCTCTCACTGGCCTTGCCCAGGTACCTGCCTTGGCCACAGTCAGTGCTTAGTAAATGGGGGTTCCAGACACCACCTCATATGGGTATCGTAAAGGCTGTGCGCAGACCCCAAGGAGAGAGAAGAGGAGGAACTGATGCACCCACTTGGGGAGAGGGAGCCCAAAATATGCAGGGACTCAGTGGTCCTGGCTCTGAGCGGCCCTTAGGTGCTGACACAGGAGATGCAGTGGGGTTCAGGCAGAGGGACTGGGCCAGCAGAGGCCTTGAGGAGGGCACTGCAGGATGGGCAGCTGGACAAATGCATGCATGAGTCCAGGCATGGGTGGACCCACAGGTGTAAAGATGGATATGTATGGGGGGGGAGGACGAGCTGTAGACAGACAGGTCAGAGGGTGGCAGAGAGGGGTGTGCACAAAGGTGGAGACTCACAGACAGAAGAACGGGGGCTAGTGGGAGGGGGAAGGGTGAGTGGACAGGTGAAAGCCAGGCTGACGGGGAGGGCATTGGCACAGGTGGTGGGTGGCCCAGGATGGCCCAGCTGGCACTGCTGGCCTGATCTCAGCTCTGGATGCCCACAGGTAGCTTCCTGGTCCCCTACCTCATCATGCTTGTTGTGGAGGGAATGCCACTCTTGTACCTGGAGCTGGCGGTGGGGCAGCGCATGCGGCAGGGCAGCATCGGTGCCTGGAGAGCCATCAGCCCCTACCTCGGAGGTGTTGGTATGTGGGCCCCTGATGTCCCCTCCCACACAGAGACATCATATTGTCCCCCGAGTGACACAGGGGTAGGGATGGAAATCTAACAGCAAGCACCAGACCCCAGAGAAAGCCAGGGCTGGGTGAGCCAGTGGCCCAGGAGGGATGGCCAGCCAACCTGGGCTGAGAAGGGCCGCGACCCGACCCACAGGTGGCCTCGGGGCACTGACACAGCTGGCCTCTCTTCTCTTGGCCTCTGTAGAAGGGAAATCGCTGCTTGGACAGGAGCTGCCCTCAGTGCTGTCTGTCGGGCTGTAGGGAGTGACAGCTCGCTGCTCCCTGCTAATGACCAGGATGCTGCCGACACTGCACACCTACTCTGTGCAGCACTGCCCTCTGGGTAGACCCGGAAGTGCAGGCATTCAGTGACCACGGCAGGGAGCAGAAGCCAGGTGCTGCTCACACGTGATACCCTGGTAACCCCGCTCCCCTCTTCTCAGGATGGAGTCTTGTGCTATGAGAGCCCAAGGGCCAGCCACTGTCCCACCAGACACAGGGGTGCCCACGGCAGCCTTGGTGACAACGTGTTCTCTCAGAGATCTGCTCCCTGGCTCTGCCACTCTCTCACTGGGCAGTCTTAGGCCAGCTCTGTGGTCCAGGGTTCTCCTTCATGATGGGGAGAAGCAAGCACTGTGCTGAAGCCCACAGCAAGTGAAGTAGAGTTCTCCACAGATGACATCAGCCCTGGGTCCATCCATGGGACTGAGGCTGGAGGAGAGACACGGTTGTCACACGCAGGCCCCAGCTCATGGTTATGATCAGTCCTCCCACACACATGCAGGACAGTATGCAGGCAGGTCCTGGTGTGCACAGGCAGTGGGCCACCCACCCGTGGTCCCCATGGCTGTGCTCTGCTTCCCCTCAGGTATGGCCAGCATAGTGGTGTCCTTCTTCCTGTCCCTGTACTACAACGTGGTCAACACCTGGAGCCTCTGGTACTTCTTCCACTCCTTCCAGGTGAGCCCTCGCCCATGAGAGCCCAAGTGGGTCAAGGTAGAGGCAGGTCTCCACCTGGGGGAGGCGGGGGGGGGGCGGGAGGTTGAGCTTGACAGCATCAGGGAGAGCCAGATGGGGTGACAGCCCCAGGGAAGTTGGCCACCTTGTCCACCATGGGACTTCTGAAGCAGGGAGATGGATCCTGAACAACCAGAGCCTGCCACAGAGACACTACTCATGCAAACAGGGAGTGCAAGACTGCTGTGCCCATCTGTGGGAAAACAGTCCTGGTCCAGCATAGAAAAGATCCCTCACATTCCAACTAACAGGGCTGGTTCTGGAACCAGGGACTCCGCAGCACAGCCCTAGCCCTGCCAAGTGTTTAGGCCTGGACTCCAGCTGTTTTGCGTAGATTGACCGTGGCCCACGGATCCTCGGTCACTGCCACCAGGGTGCCTTGGCTCTGCTACCTGTGAATGTCGGGCTGAATGCAAGGGCTGTTCACACTTGCTTCAGCACGAACATTTCTGTCCACGGATCTAAAGCCCACAGAGGCCAACTGGACGCAAAACAATCGATACGGGCGCATACTGGCAAGGCAGGGTGTGGCAACCATCTCACCTCCCGCCCTGGCCAGACTTCAGCTTTTCCTCCACCCATCCCGTTTAGTACCGCTGTCAAACATCTGGCCATGAGCGAGGTTTGCTGGGCATTGTCTTGGTTACTTTCTCATCCTTGGATGCAATGCCAACACCCACAACTCAAAGGAGGGTTGTCTTGGCTCATGGTTTCAGACGTGTTTTATGGTAATACGCTCAATCCCAGAAACAGCACAGGGGGAAGGGCCTTGGGGTGAAAAGCTTCCAATTGTTATGGTGGCCCGGAAGCAGAGAAGAGAGGCACCAGGGAGGGAGACGGACTCCCAGTGATTCGCCTCTCCCCAGGCCCCCGTCTCAGTTACTCTTCTCTTGTTGCTGGGACAAATATCGGACACCTGAAATGAAGGAAGGAAAGGTATCTTTAGCTCACAGTTCCTGGAGGTTTCAGTCCCTACTCAGCTGGCTCCAAGGCAGAGCGGCACATGGCAGAGGGCAGCAGTTCATGGTGGCGGCAGACAGCAAAGAGCAAGAGCAAAAGGGACGAGTAGCGGCAACAATGGCTACGGAGAGCAAGTCTCTCTCCTTCAAGTTGCATTCGGGCTATATGCCTCAGGCTGGGTGTAGTACTAAAACCCATAATCCCAGCCTTGATCATGAATTAATCTCAAACTCTAGAAGTCCCCACCCAATGACTACATGCGGCTTTAGGGGGACAGCGAGGCGTAACCATAATACCCCCCGTCCTAATAGCACTCTCAGCGCCTGAATTCATTGGCAGGTGAATCCCTCATGAATGCAATGGCCACAGGACCCAATCAACTCCCCAAAGCCCTGCCCCTGAGGCCATGGCGGTTTGGGGGCCTCTCTAGATCTTAGCCATGGCAGACATGCCCCCGCCATGGAGGCTCCTTCACTGATGAGGGAGAGAGAACCCAGTTCAAACTTGCTGCAGCAGAGGAGGACCCTCCTGGCTCCACCCCGCAAGGCCCAGGTGTCAAACATTTTCCAGCTGAGCTGGCTCAGGCTAAAGGCAATTGCTCGTGCCCACTCCTCTCTGGCTCAAGAGCACAGAGGCTGGAGGGTGCGGACCTCATCTCCCTCTCGCTTTCAGACCCAGTGCTGGGGGAGAAGATGCCTGCTCGCACCAGCAGTGTGCACCGGGGGGTGCTGGCTTAGGGAGCTGGAGGGAGGCTACCCAGAAGGAAGACCCCGAGAGATCTGTCAGGGTGCACGGCTGGCTTTCTCTGGTTGGCCAAAGCCAAGGACTCCATCTGTCATGGGCCAAGTCCTGACTGTCCCATCTGATGCCAAAGATGCAGGTTACTCGGGTTTGTCACCAGAGGTCCCGGGCTGGCTGCTGCAGAGCTTGGGTCACAGTTCTGTCATCACAGCTGCTCTGCCATCGCCCATTTGATCTTTACCCCAAGAGAGTGCAGACACTCCCCACAGCACCTTCGGGATGGCGACAAGAGCACAGCCCTCTGGCAGTGAGATCTGCACAACCACGAGGAGACATCTGCCACGGCTTGTGTCTAGCCGTCCCAAAGACCATGGGGCCATAGGGGGGGATTTTTCAGAAGCGGCTGGATCTAGAGGGCATGAATGATTCATGGTGCGCTGCTGGGGCTGAGGGCGTGTGACTGTTAACTCTGATTGGCTGGCGCTGCCCTCATCCCTAGCTGGAGAGGGTAAAGGGCAGAAAGATGCTGGTAAGGTTCCGTGGCTTCGCTGCCTTCTGCCCGCCATGAACTGCTCTCTGTGCTGCACTACGCTGCCCACGACAGGCTGAACCTCCACAACCGTGAGGAAATTGAACCCTCCCCCATTCACTGTGTGTGGCGTGTACTTTGTCCCAGCCGTGAGAGAGAAAAATAACTAAGACAACACTGGAGGCAGGGGAGACCTAAAGGCTCTTTGGCTGGTAGCTAGGAAGGTCCATGTGTGAGCGGATGGGCCCATTGGCTTGGCCTCTAGTGAGGGGGACACAGGACAGCAGGTCACTGCATAAGCAAGTGCAGGCACAAATATGGCGTCTCCAATGGCAGGGGAGAAAAAACAGGGTCCCACCAATCGCAAGGAGCATGTACTCCAAGTGACCTGAGGCCCTGTCACTAGGCTCTGCCACTAAATGCCACCCAGCACTACCCCCTGCAGCCAGGCCACTGCATATGGACCTCTGGGGAGCACTCCGCCTCAAACCGCACCAGGCACCCCTGCAGTCCCTGAGCCCTGGGTGCCAGCAACCTTCCCCTGCCCTCATCCCCCACCTGGCCTCCCTCTCACCACTCTCTACAATGCCATGCCACCTGCAGGACCCCCTGCCATGGTCCATCTGCCCCCTGAATGGAAACCTTACAGGCTACGTGGAGGAGTGTGAGAAGGCCTCGTCCACACAATACTTCTGGTACCGGAAGACCCTCAACATCTCACCGTCCATCCAGGACAGCGGGGCCGTGCAGTGGGAGCCGGCGCTGTGCCTCATCCTGGCCTGGATGGTGGTGTTCCTGTGCACGCTGCGGGGCGCTGAGACAACGGGCAAGGTGGGCAGCACCAGAGTGGGGCTCCACGGCACAGCCCAGGGTGGTATCTCACAGGGTGGGGACAGCAAAGGCGTCGCTGGAGAGAATCGCCTACCCTGGGAGAGGAAGCGGCGAGACATGGCTGTGGCTGTCACCTGCAGTTCTTGCATTCATTTCATTAGTGCCCGGGGACAGGACCTGGGGATGCAGGTTACTTGGGGACGTCTGTGGTTTCAGTCCCTCCCCACCTGTTCCCTTGCCTGTCTTCCTCCCTGTCATCCCCTTTTTGTCTCCAGAAATCTACTTTCCAGTCTCCTGTGCTGTCTTTTTGTTTATATCTGTCGGCCTGTATGTACTTTTTAGATTTCTCAGAGAAGACACACAATATTTAACTTTCCAAAGCTGGCTAATTTCATTCAGCACAACATTTTCTAATTCCAGAAGTTCCCTGATGAATGCTATTACCCTGTGGTCCCTTCAGCTGTGTGTGCTGTCGGCACCCATTCTTGTGTTGATGAGCACCTAGGCTGTCCGCACAGCGTAGCCACTGTGACCCTCACTGCCATGACCATGGGGTGCATGCCTCCCTGTAGGATGCAGCCCCTAATTTGGCAGGGAGCAGGCCCAAGAGCACTGTCCTGGGTGCATGTGTTTCTATGTTTACTCTTTTGAGGAATCTCCATACTGACTTCCACAGTGACAGTACGAGTTTTCGTTGCCCCCCAACAATGCAGCAGGGAGCCTGGCCCGTCCTGGCCAGCATTCACGGGGGTGTTCTTGATGACAGCCGTTCTGACCGCAGTAAGCTGAATCTCAATGTACTTTTAATTTGCATTTTTCTGTCATGGCTAGAGGTGTTGAACATTTGTCATATATCTCTTGGCTATTGGAATTTCTCTAAGGAATACCTCTTCTGTTCATTTGCTCACTTCTTTTCTTTTGATTGTCTTATGGGGCTTGATTTTTAAGTTCCTTACATGTTCTAGTTATTGATTTTACATCCAAAGAGTAGCTCCAAGGGCCAGCCAAATAGCTCAGTGGATTAAAGCAACTGCTTAGGCAGATGCAGGAGTGGGGAGTTCGATCCCCGGGCCTGCCATGCTGGCCTCGCCCCCGGGGGTGCTGAGACAGCAATTGAGACTGGCGTGCTCCTGTAATTAATCCCAGATCTTGGGAGGCTGTAAACAGGAGGATCACTACAAGTCCAATCTAGTAGTGAGACCCTGTACTCCTTGTCCCAAATACAAAATAAAAGAGTCGCTCCAAAGTTTGGCTCCCATCCAGGACCTTGTCTCTCCTGTAGGTTGTCTTTGCTTTGCTGAAACTCTTTAACTTGATGTAATTGTATTTGTTGATTCTGTTTATTATTTCCTGTGCTGAGGACTCGTGTTCAGGAAGTCCTTGCTTATGCCTGTGGCTTCAAGTGTTTTCCTTGTATAGTCTTCCAGAAGTTTTCGTGTTTCTGGTTTGTGTTTTTTGTTTTTTCTGTACCTTAGGACAGGGTCTACAGGGTGTTCAGGGTTTCACTACTAGATCGGACTTGTAGTGATTCTCCTGTTTACAGCCTCCCAAGTGCTGGGATTACAGGGGTGCACCACCATGCCCAGTCTCAATCATTGTCTCAGCGTGCCCCAGGGGCAGGGCTGGCACAGAAGACCCTGGGATTGAACCCCAGGCCCCTGTGCCTGCTTGCAGATGCTTTCATCTGCTGAGCTATTTGGTTCACACTCCTTGTTTTGTTTTTTGAGACAAATAAAAAATTGAGGACTGGCCAGGTAGCTCAGCAGACTAAGCACCTGCTTAGGCAAGTTCAGGGACCAGGGTTCAATCCCCAGCACCACATGCCTGTGTGGGCCCCGCCCCAACCAGAGAATGGGCATGTTGGTGCACACCTGTAATCCCAGTGCTAAGGAGGCTGAAAAACAGGAGAATCATTGTTTTCAGCTGCGTAGTGAGACCCTATACCAAATACATTAAAAAAAAAAAAAAAATCGAACTCACAGCCTTGCCCTCGCCAGGCAGGCACTGTGTCACTGAGCTAGCCTCGCATTTTCTGGTTTTATATCTAAGTCTCTGACCTGGTTTTAGTCCAGGGTGAGAGATGGGCTCTTGCTTTGTGTATGTGGCTCCCCAGGTTTTCCAGCCCCATTTCTTAGGCTGTCTTTTCTCCAGCAAATGTTAAAAGAAACGAAAACGTGGACAGCCACAGGTGCCGTGGTTTGCTTCTGTCTCGTCTGTTCTGTTCCATCTGTTTTTCCCTCAGCACTATCCTATTTTTGTTGTGGTGGTTTTGTAATATTGCCTGAAGTATAGTGATGTCTCCGGCATTGTTCTGTTTTTTCCAGGTTTCTTTGGCTATTTTGAGTCTTTTCCAAAACCAAATGAAAGTCAGGAGTGATTTTTTTTTTTTTTTAGTTCTGTGAAGAATGTATTTGGTGTTTTAATACAGATTGTGTTGAATCTGTAGCTCTCTATTGGGGGTGTGTTCATGCTAACAACAACTGAACTAATCCAAGAGAAAGGGCTATCTTTCCATTTTCAAATGCCCTTAATTTTTTTCTTGAGAACTATATGCCTTTCATTATAGAGGTCTTTAGCCTCCTGAGGGTTAGGTGGTTTTCCAGGTACCTAAATACGGGGGGAGCCATTGTGAGCAGAATTGTTTGCCTGATTTCAGTGGATTCATTACTGGTGTATAGGAATGTGATCGATGTTTGTGCACTGACCTTCTATGCTGAATTTGTCAGATCTTAGAATACTTCTGGTAGAGTTTTTGGGGGCCTTCTATTGTTATGGTTTGTATCTAATTGTACCCCAGAACCTCAGGCACTCATAGGTGGGGTTTCAAGGGGTGACTAGATCGTAGGTGTGTGATGCTCATCACTGGAGCGCTTTATAGCTGAGCGTAATGGTGGGAGGGGCAGCCTGGAGGGAGGAGGTGGGCCCCTGCGGGTGTGAAAAATGCTCGGCACCAAGAGGTTTTGGAAGGCCACTTTAGTGTAATGCGATCAGCCTGATGGGAGCCAGTTCCAAATCATCAGCCCAGAGTTAGTTTTGAGTTCAGTTTAAATACTGTTTACAAGCAGGAAGTATACAGCTGACAGCTATTACATGATTGGTTACATGGATTGCAAAAATTAAGTCATATGTTGCTAGGCAGATTTGTTTTAAGCAGGTATAGTTAAGAGGAATCATTAGACAGGGACATTCTGGGTGGAGGGCTTGGGCAGAGTGGCTAGAGCTGACTGCATCCTTAACTGGGTCAGTGTGTTCTGGGCATAAATTATAGCCCTTGAAGCAAGCTGAAACAAAGCTACACATGTACGTATTTTAAGTTGAAAGACATGCTACAGCTGGATGTGCTCAGGGCAGCCGGCCGGCTACTGGGAAGCAGCAGCAGGATGCAGGCAGTGGAGGCTGGCAGGGCTCAGCAGGCTGCGGCGCAGCGGCTCGAGCGTAAGGACAGGCCACTGGTTGACTCTTAATTTGTACTGGAAGATTTTTATGCATTTCCCATTACATTTTAAAAGGTATTTTTACTTAGGAAGGTGCATTAGATTGTATGACAGGCCTTTTCAGCACCCAGTGAGATGGTCCTGTGATTTTTATGTTTGACTCCACTTATGTGACATATTATATATATACTTGATTTCCGTACGTTGAACCGTCTGTGCATCTCATGATAAAAGCACCCTGTTTTCAATCTTTGATATATTTTTCTTTTTTTTTTTTTTTTTTTGGCGGAACTGGGGATTGAACTCAGGCCCTTGCACTTGCCAGGGAAGTGCTTATTCCACTGAGCCATCTGCCCAGCCCCCTTGATATATTTTTCTTACTGATATTTTCTACTGTCTAGCCTTTCAATTGCATTTTTCATTTAGTGAGATTTTACTTCCAGGATTTTGGCCTGTTTCTTTTCCATAACTTCTCTTTACTGAAGCTGCCCTTTACATCCTGCATGGCCTTCATTAACTCGTTAAGCTTCTTGTTTTTCTCTTCTTGGATCTGGTGTGTCATCTGAATTGTTGGGATTTTTAAATTATTTGTCTGGATCATCCATTTCAGTATCTGATGGATCAACCAGACTATAATGTGGGCCTTCCAGAGAGGGGTTACCAGCGCCATCTCGCACGGGTGGCCTCAAACTCTCAGGGAACTCATGTGACACAACACTGTTCCTTGTTTTAAGACGCTCTGCTGCATGACTTATGGAAAAACAGCAGTCCTCAAGGTCTCTATGTTGAAACTCTGAAAGAGGGGCCACAGGAGCACATGCTTGTAACCTCAGCATTCTGGGAGGCTGAGGGAGGATGATAAGTTCAACCGTAGTATCGGCAAGTTATTGAATCTTGTGTCAAAATAAAAAATTAAAAAACTAGGGCTGTAGCTGAGTGTGAGGGACACTCCCCCCACATTGCACATCATTATTTCTCCTTGCAGAGCACTGTTGGACAGGATCTCTCAGGCCTTACCTCTGAAGAGCTAGCCTGACCCAAACTCACAAGAACATAGATGATGTGACTTTTTTTTTTTCTTTTTCTTCCTCTTCTGCTTGGGACACTGGAAGACCCTGAGCAAAATTTAGCCCCAAGACTGGGAATCCGCACACATCTGTAGGCAGGCGTTCTCTCTGGCTTCATCACCAGGTTGCCCCTATTTGCTTTTCAGACTGACTCCTCTGCCTAGAAATGGGAATGTATCACCGGGAATACTTATAGGCACCCCCGCCCTATGGGAAATATGTTTGGGTTGAAGAAAGCCAGGGAGCAGGTGCCTGGGCCTCTGCAGCCTCTTGTCTGCCAATGAAGAATTTCCTGGCAATTGCAGACCTGGGCAACCACAGCCACCAGCCCACTCCTCCAGGGCAGTCAGACCTGATCCAACCAAGGCTGAAGCCCGAACACCCAACGGGCTGTGGTGCTTCCAGGGATGTTGGTCTGCCATGCTTCCTCTGCACGATCTGACTCCGCTCTCTGGCACACAGGTGGCCTATTTCACTGCACTGCTGCCCTACTGTGTGCTCATCATCTACCTGGTCAGAGGCCTCACCCTCCATGGAGCCACCAATGGCCTGATGTACATGTTCACTCCCAAGGTAAGGACACCCTTCGCTCGTCTCACCCCTCACTGGCACAGGGGGAATGAGGAGTGCATGGAGGGAAGGTATGGCTCTCCACAGGGAGCTGTAAAGCCGTACCTCAACTCACCTCCAGGTCACAGACCCACATTTCTGCATGTCCAGACCCAGGTGGGACCTGGCTGGGGAGTCTGAGGCCCTATGTATTTTTCATCATTCCACCCCATGATATTCCACTGCATATTTCCTACGGGTACAGAGCCATGGACAGTGTAACAGCAAGATTTCCAAGGGGCTTATGGTGCTGAGGAACAGATGGTACAGACCAGGGCTGGAAGAGCTGACAGGCTGTGTGCTGGGGGCAGCTCTTGCCCACTCTGGGCCTCTCTCCTTGTAGGTGCAAGTCTCTGACACTCAGACTTCATGAGCCCTGTCCCTGGTGACCTTCCAGGTCGAGCAGCTGGCCAACCCCAAGACCTGGATCAATGCAGCCACACAGATCTTCTTCTCTCTTGGCCTGGGCTTTGGCAGCCTGATCGCTTTTGCCAGCTACAACGAGCCTTCCAACAACTGCCAGAAGCACACCATCATCGTGTCCCTCGTTAACAGTGCCAGCTCCATATTCGCCAGCGTGGTAACCTTCTCCATCTATGGCTTCAAGGCCACCTTCAACTATGAAAACTGCTTGAATAAGTAAGCTGGGTTGCCCCACATAAGACCTGGGTCTCAAGAGGGGTGGAGTCTCCAGAGCTCTGAGCTAAAAAGAGAACTGCAAGAACTAGATGCCCAGAAGGCACAGTGGGCAAAGAGCTCCAGTTTTGGAGTCCTCAAGCCAAGGTTTGATTGCTGGCTCCTCCCAGCGACCTTGGCTAGTCAAGGTCATCTCCCGAGGATGAGGGCAGTCTCAGGTGTTCAAAGCTCTTAGTAGATCAGGACAGCAACCACTCCAGTGACTTCTGCCCCATCAACCCTATCTCAGAAGGAAACAAGACCTCCCGAGAGCCAGAATTTACTGCCTTTAACTCCTGACTCAGAAGGTAGGAACATCACTCAGAAGGTGAGACATCCCGTAGGGTGGTCACCTGAGTCAAAGCAGGTATTTCCACATTTCAGTGTGGCCACACTGAAGTTCTCCACTGCTACATGTGGTACCAAATTGGATGGCCAGCCAGGACATTTCCTAAAGCACACAAGTATCTATCAGATGTCACTGTCTTGGTGTTAAAGTAGCCTTACTGTGGAGGTTTGGTTCTTGTTGTCATCCCCATTTGTGGCGAAGGCTTCATCAAAGCCGTTCAGAGTTGCCCTGTCCTCTCCAATGTCATCGGTGCAGCTTCCTGGCCTTCACAGCAGAAGGAAGAGGCGGGAGGGATAGCATGCGATCCCCAAGCTTTGTGAGGCACTGATGCCAGCAGCCTTCCTAGTCAGTGGAGGTCAAGCTGGCGGTCTGCTCTGCAGGGTGATTCTGCTGCTGATCAATTCTTTTGACCTTGAAGATGGCACTGTGACAGCCAGCAACCTGGAACAGGTAAAAGACTACCTGGCTTCCACCTACCCGAGCAAGTATAGCGAGGTCCTCCCACATATGCAAAACTGCAGCTTGGAATCGGAGCTGGACACGGTAAGGTGCTGGCTGGGTTGCACGGGGTACCTCTGTCTTTGTGCTCACAGGGACTTCAGGACAAGAAGGACTGCGTCATCTCCTGTCCCATGGAGAACAGTGACTGGTCACCATATTTTCCCGGTGCCTCTTGGGTACTTTACCCATTAGAAAGCTCTGTTGGGTTCTGTGGATCCTTTTCATCTTCTAAGTTTTAATAACTCAAGGAAACAGAATAATACAACCAACATCCAAGTACTCACCTGTCCAGATGAATACCTGGGAACATTCTGAGCTTCTACTTTTTTATGTAAAAGTGTTTCAGACACAAATTAAAAGGCCCCTTTGTTATCCGCCCTGAGTTTTCTCCACATCCCCCTTGCTGTTGCTCCACCTAGATGTATTCTTTTGCTGTATTTTTCAGTTTCGTCGTGCAGGGTCTGCCGTGAAGCTCAGGCTGATCTGGAACTCACTAAGCAGCCAAGACTGGCCTTGAGCTTGCAGCGATTTTCCTACCTCAGCCCTCTGAGTCCTGGGATTACAGACAAGCACCAGCACACCCAGCTCAATACATGTATTCTTAAATAATATTACTACTCATAAGTGGTCTCAGAAAATACATTTCTCATTGACCATTTTAATTTTGAAATCTGTCTGGAACAAGATATTTCAAGTTGCATTTACTATTTTATTTCATCAAACATACCACACTTTATTATCTATTTCCTTAGTAAAATACATTCGAGGTTTTTGTAAAAAAAAAGTTTTGAGAGAAAAATCATCCATATTTATTTTAAAGACTATCTGTGCTTTGCTGGGATCTTTATTTTTTCACATTAATTCTAGGGTTGGTTTGATGAGTTTGATTGGCAAAACTCACTTAAGTTTTTACTAGAATTGCATCAATGTCACGTTGTAATTTCAGGAAAATTATTACCTTTTGATTTGTGATTTTTAATTCACAAATATGCTTTCTCTCATTGACCTGGGTGCTTTCACACCTTCGAGCTCACTCTCCAAGGGGACCTGAGCACGCGTCTTACTAGACGTACTCCTGTGCTGCGGATTGCTGTTGTGAATGTTTGCTGTGTTTCTGCCTAGTAAACATCGTTATTTTTGTTGCAAAAGAAAGCCTTACCTGGTCTTGTACCTAGCAATTTCTATGAACTGGCTTACAGATTCTAGTTGCCTGCAGATTTCCTTCCCTTTCCCTGTAGCCAGCATATCATCTGAAGAGACTTTTTCTTTTTTCTACTCAGTGTGTATCTCTTATTCTGTTACGCTCCTTGTGTTCACCTGGGCCTCAACCACAGTGGAAATAGAAGTACTGGCATGTATCCCAAACACTTCTAGAGACAGTGTCCAGAGAAGGTTTCTAGACATGACGTTACAAGAGCAGGGGCTAGGGAGGCCAGGGCCAGGGCTCTGGTGACCAGAGTCCAATGTGGACGTGTGCTCAGGGCTGAAGCCACTTGGCGTGACTTTGGGAGAAAGCCAAGCCTGCCGCTCAGGGTTGTCCTGCCCCGGAGCACTGCTTGCACCAGCAGGGCCCTGACCCTGTTCCTGGACGCACTTCACACACCAAGCCTGCTGTCCCTAGACCCCAGGACTCTGTCCTGTTCTGAGTTTCATAGGGCCTTTGTCTCTGTGCCTAGCCAGTGCCCCACTCCAAGTTTTCATTTGGCTTTGGTCCCAGGAGTTTTCCTTGCTTACTTTTTAATCTGGATCCATGTCTATAAATTATTATTAATAATTATATATTCTTATTTTAGTCACTATTTCTCCCTCCAATTTGTGCATTATTTATTGTTACAAAATTACCTCTGTAATTTGTATCTTGTGTTTCTTTAAAATCTTCTAGCACCCTTGTTACAGTAGTAACCACAGGTAGGAAACAGAGGCAGTGCCCCCTGGTGGAAGGGAGGACTTAGTTTATCCCCAATGCTGTTGAGAAAGGTGCACTTACAACAATAAAAAGCACCTCGTTCAGCAAGATCAATTTGCGTCACAGTTCTGCACAGACACATGATGTTAGCCATCCTGCCCGCCTCGGTGGCGTTCCGCGGAGCCGACCTACTTCCACTGAGTCAGGCAGCCTGTTACAGCAAAGCGCCCACGGACGGGTCACTCAGGGCTCTGTGGGCAGCGGGTCGGACATCCGGACCTCAGGAGCTGGCCTCCAGAGAAGGCCTGCTTCCCGGGCAGACAGCCTTTCTGCCCCTCACGGGATGGAGAGCCGTTTCTCTTTCTTTCTGTCTTCTCATAATTGCATGCTCCTGTGATCTCCAATTTTATAACCTCCTTTAACCTAAACTCTCTCCAGGCACACTGCTCCAGGGACAGGGACTCAACATAATCCTGGGGGAAGGGACCCCGTCCGTAGCAACTCTGACTCTGACTGTCCCATGCGTGCCGTCTCGGGGAGGACGGTCCTCTCTTACCTCCCCGACTGTACTCAGCGCGGGGGTGTTCAGTGCCTGAGTGTGAGCCGCCCACACCCGTGATGCCTCCCGACCCTCACTGGGGCCCTGAGGACTTGTCCTGGAGCAGGAGCTGCAGACCCAGTGTCCACAGCTCCGTGTGTCCACATGAGGTCAGCAGCACCACACTCCGTCCTGTCCAGGAGGGCACTGAGCCCTGCGCGCAGGCCGGCGCCTCCTCAGTCGGTCAGAACAGCCGAGTGGTCACGATGCTGGGAGAGAGATGGCCCACGCACGAGCTCGATGCATCCACCATCTATGGAAGCCGGGACAGGGCACAGAGTGACAAAGCCCCCTGGGTAACTGCTGCCTTCTCGCCTCGAGCAGGCTGTCCAGGGCACGGGCCTGGCCTTCATCGTCTACACCGAGGCCATTAAGAACATGGAGGTGCCGCAGCTGTGGTCGGTGCTCTACTTCGCCATGCTGCTGACGCTGGGTGTGGGGAGCATGCTGGGCAACACGATGGGCATCCTCACGCCTCTGACTGACAGCAAGGTCATTTCCAGCTACCTGCCCAAGGAGGCCATCTCAGGTCAGCGGTCACCTAGCCGGGGCAGGGACGATGGTGCGGGCTGGGATTCAGAACAGGCAGGGCAGGGTCAGGGCCCTATTGCCCCACCGTGGCTCCCGCCACCTCTTTTGGTGCCCAGTGTGCTCCTCGACTCTGGCCCCAGCCCCCAGAGCTCTCTCCTGCATTGCCCGAGGGAGAAGAGGTCACCCTGACTGTGAGGAAGGCCAGCTCCCTGCCTGGCGCCCAGAGCTCTCCAGGCCACAGGGAATCCTGCTCGTGTTGTTTTCATTGAAGCCTAGCACTCGTGAAGCAGGCGTTTCGTCAGCTCAGTGCAACGAACTCGCGTGTTCTCCTAGCAGCCCACAGCTAACACTGAAAGCTTTCCCACCCACCAAGCCCCTCCCATCCCTTTCCTGGGAACTAACTCCCCATGTACACGCTCCTCTCACTCGGTGTCCCTGTGCTGCCCACCAATGCCACACATCCTCAGGACCTCACCAACCTGCGAGTGGCAGCAGGACCTGGCAGCCTGTCCGGCTTGTATGATCCACGAGATGCCATAACTTCTTCACTCATTCTGCTTTCCCCTTGGGTGCTCAGTAGAAGAACCAGCTTGGCCTATGGAAGTGCTCCCTGTTCCTCTGACCCCCTTCCAACCAGGCAGGGTCCCAAGCACTCCCTTGGGTGGCCCTGTGCCTCCACATCCAGGTCAAACCCAACCCGACACCTCTCCCTCCCCTGCCAACCCCGGTACCCAGGAGGAGCTGCCCATACCGCGCGGACAGCAGCTCTCCAGCCAGCACGTGGGATGCCCTCCTATTGACGTGTCCTGTCCAGGAGGGCACAGGTGCAGGGGCTGGCGGAGAAGGGATAGATGGGCATGTAAGAGCCCAGTGGGGTGCCCAGTGGAGGAAGCCGAGGGACATTGAGTCCAAACTCAGGTCCTGACACTTTGGGCCTTGTTGGAACCGTCTGCCACTCCCAGGCTGCAGGCCAGGGCAGACCTGCAGGACGCCTCTGAGGCTTGCTGCTCACTGTGAAAGGCCCCTGTTGTCCCCCGCCCTGAGGCTTAAGGACGCCACGACCACCAGTGCTCCTGCCTCTCTCCACCTTTCTCAGAGCTCCTGCCTGGGACCAAGCCACATGCCAGCCTCTCCTCTGCTTCTCTAGTGCTGGGCCTGAGCCATGGGCCCCTGGCACCCCGCAGCCCGGGTGACACTCCTGGGAATGTGCTGCTCGCCACTCTGCTTCCCATTAAACCTGATGTCCTTGGCATGGTGGCTCCTCTAACCCAGGGAGCCAAAGCCAGTGGCCAGAGTCCCCTCAGGGCCTGGGCTCGGCTGCCCCTGAGACAGCGGGAGTGGGCAGGATGCCCCAGGCAGCCAGCGGGTGTCTTGTGCCCAGGTCTGCTGTGCTTCGTCAACTGTGCCATCGGCCTGCTGTTCACCATGGAGGCTGGGAGCTACTGGTTCGACATCTTCAATGACTATGCGGCCACGCTGTCCCTGCTGCTCATCGTGCTGGTGGAGACAGTCGCCGTGTGTTACGTGTACGGGCTGAGGAGGTGAGGGGGCCCAGGCCTGCTGGCTCCATGGGCAGCGGAGTGCAGGGACCCCACAGGCACCGCAGCCACCCTGGCTCAGGTGCCAAATGGCTTTCCTTCTAAAGGCTGCCTTTGCCCTCATGCAGTTACTTGCCTTCCTCCTTCCGCTGGGCTTCACCCAACAGCTGTTTCTCGTATTTTCTGCTCCTTGGGAAGCCCCCAGGTAATGCTGCTAGATCCCCACAGCTTTCTGGAAAGAGCATTGTTCCTCCTGGCACTAGATAACCTCATCACCAGCCAACAGCAATATTTTTAAGGTCCTTGTTAAGAACCTTCATCTTAGAAAATCAAACACATGCCACCAAGGGCACGTCCTCACCCCAGGTGCCCCGCAGCGCTGGCAGGCTGCAGTCTCCCCAGGTGATGCAGTGTGCAGCTGGGGCCAGAACCACTGCTCCAGGGCAGCCTGCCAAGGAGTTTGCCTCAGAACCACCCAAAGCAGCTTCTGCTTAAGGAGGTCCAGGATGAGGACCAGGATTCCCATTTCTCTACAGGCCCAGGTAGCTGGGGGCCACACTTTGAGCACCACTGCCGTAGCTCCTAGCCATGTGCAGTCCCTGAAGCACTGGCATCAGCAAGGGGCCTGCGTGAGTGTCAGGGTCTCAGACCTCCCTCCCCCAGTGGGCCAGGACCTGCACAGTGGACAGTTTGGGAAAGGCTGCTCTGTGGAGTCTCACTCCAAGGGGCTGTGCCACATGGTCCTCCCTCCTTCCATCCCTGCCACTGCGGGGTGGGGAAGGAGACGGTTCTGACACCCAGCGGACCAGCATCCCCTACGGTAGTGTCTCCACCTCTCTTGGAAAGGCCATCACCTCCTGCCAAGCAGAGGGAGCTCCTGGGATCCACTGGCTTAGGGCATCAGTAAAGCTAAGCCACAAGTGCCGCTAGGACTTCTTAGAGCCCTGAAGACGCAGGACTCTCAAAGTGGGGCATGACAATTTAAAACATTATCAAAACAGTGTGGGCACTGAAGGTCTTGTATCCTCCTCCTGCCAGTTGCTAGCATTTTTATTTTGTGGGGTTTGTTTTTGTGGGGGGTTTTTTTGGTACCAGAGATCAAACTCAGGACCTTGCACCTGGCAGACAGGCATGCTTATGCCATTGAGCTATCTCCTCGACCGTGTCTTGTTCTTTGAATCAGGGTCTCACTCACTACATAGTTCAGACTGGCCTCAAACTCATGGTAACTTTCCTGCTTCAGCCCCCCAAGTGCTGGGTTTATAGGCAAGCCCCACTACACCTGGCTCAGTCACTAACATTTTGAAATCACTAACAAACATTAGGGTGCCCAATTCTCCCAGTTACGCCAGCATGGAGGAGCTTCTGGGACATGGGCCATTAGTGTTAAAATCAAGAGAATCCCCAATAGTAGGATAAATTCAGCTTAAGAATAGGAATAGTAGGAAATGCTAGCTTAAGAGGGACAGTTTGTCCCAAGAAAAGAATGTGAGAGAATTCAGGGACAGGAATGAAAACCTCGGCCTCACAGGAAGGCATTGGAGAGGGGACACAGGCCTGCGGAAAGAGCCGGGACAGGAATGAAAACCTCGGCCTCACAGGAAGGCATTGGAGAGGGGACACAGGCCTGCGGAAAGAGCCGGGAAGAGGGAGCCCTAGGGACTTTCCAGGGGCCTGAGCCGTGAAAAGGTTCTTGTGCTTTCTCGGGGTACTGCGCCATCTGGTGGTCTCTCGGAGACAATGACCTGGTCAGCAGCCTGCTCTTCCCACTTTACCCAGAGGTGGCCAGGTGATGGGACCGAGGTCCCATGCTTTCTGACCTCTGTCACTCTGACAGTTTCAGGCATTCATACAGCACACAGCAGCCACAGCGGCCGAGTCCCGCTTGTCATCATCAGTGGCAGGTGCAGCTGCACGCTACACAGCCCTCCAGGGACGGACACTGCCCCGGAGGGGGTCAGGGCAACAAGGCTTAGCCTTATCCCAGTCCCTCCTGGCAGTGCTGTACCTCTGGCCAAGAGAGCAGTTGAAGGGTCTCGCCTGCAGGCAGGGGCAGCACAGGTCCCAGAGTGCCCTGTACCTCCAGTGAGTCCACCTCGGCGCTGGGCCTCACCCTCCCTCCCTGTGGAAGTCCAATGCGTGTGCACTAGGTACCTACACAGCCCTCAGACCGCATGAGGGGAATGCCACCCACTGCTGCCAGGTTTAGGGAAACGTTGACATCCACAAAGAGGGGGTGAGAACAGCCAGCCAGGAGGCCACGGCGGTCTGTGGACTCTGGCGCCTGTGCTATCCCTACCCACACTGGGCTTGGCCTCTACCCTAAACCCTGCGGTCCCCTGACGCAGGTGTTTCTAAAGGGCAGTGCAGATGCCCACAGACAGCGTGGAGAGCAGGGAGGCAAAGCCGCCCAAGGTCCTGTCCGGCACAGACTGCCCGGCCCCCACCACACCTCTCTCTAGTTCACACCACAGCTTCCTCTGAAGGCCAGCAGCAGGGACAAGTGTCCTTCCCTGGTGTGGGTTCACCCTGCAGCCACCAGGAAGGGACCTGTTGGGATGGGTAACACTGGGCTCAGGTAGCCCAGAGCAGACTTCCTAGTGAGGAGGGCGCATCAGGTTCACCTGGCTCTGACAGCAGCACCAACCCCAGCTCCCTCCCTCCCTTGGTGCACAGATTCGGAGCCGAGCTCAAGGCCATGACCGGCTGTGCCCTCAACTGGTACTGGAAGACCATGTGGGCGTTCGTGAGCCCGCTGCTCATCGTGGGCCTCTTCTTCTTCTACCTGACTGACTACATCCTCTCGGGGACCCCGCAATACCAAGCCTGGGATGCCACCCAGGTACCTGTCACTATGCGGGGCCAGGAGTGGCTGATATGTGCTGAGCTGCATTGTGGTGGGGAGGTCACTGGGACACAGAGCCTGTGGCGCTGAGAGGGCCGGCCCAGGCTGCGGAGCTGCATGTGCTGCGGTGATGAGAGCAGGGGTAGCCCAGCAGAGCCACTGATGGCCACTGCCTGCATGCCGGGAGATTGTCCCTTGGGTCAGGCAGGGGACAGACAGATGCAGAGCATTTCCGCGACCACACAAAGCCCTACTGCAGGCAAAGGGCAGCATTGCACTTGGGGGCTCCATACGGTGCTCCAGAGGGAGGCACTACGACTTCCGGGGCTGCCACAGGCAGCTCCAGCAGGAGCTTCCCCTGGGGTGTCCACCTCCTGGTGGCCGAGGGCTGGCCAGTGGGCTCAGGTGTGGTGGGAAGGCTCCCCCCACTCCCGTGACACTTGTGTCTCCTCCAGGGCCAGCTGGTGACCAAGGACTACCCCACCTATTCCCTGGCATTCATCGGCCTGCTCATAGGCTCCTCCATCATGTGCATCCCCCTGGCGGCCCTGGGGACTTTTGTCATGCACCGCCTCAGGAAAGGAGACAGGACCTCCACAGCCTGAGGGCTAGACTTCCAGAGCCTGCGGTCAGCCTGCCAACCTTCTTTCACTATGGCCTTGTCCTTGGCTGCTTTTAATTTTATGTATTTAGTACAGGGTCTACAGGGTCTCACTACACAGATCGGACTCGCAGTGATTCTCCTGTTTTCAGCCTCCCCGGCGCTGGGATTACAGGCCCAGTCTGCAGAGTCAGCACAGCAGGCCAGGGATTGAAGCCCCAGCCCCAGCATCTGCCTAAGCAGGTGCTTTAGTTCGCTGGGCTATCAGGCCAGCCCTTGGCTGCTTTTTAAATTATTTAAGCCCAAGTACCACACCCTCTACTTCTATAAAGAGTGAGTTACACACCCCCTCCTGGGTAGAGAACTCAATCCTCGCCCACACACCTCCAGACGTGCACTTTCCTCCCCTACAATCCGTACTTTTTGTTGCTACAATTTAATGTGGTGACAGTTATTTTTCATCACTTGACTTTTCACACCAGAGATGCGAAAGGTCTCCACACCACCCTAGGGTAACAGAGCATTCTGAAATGGACTCAAGTGTTTACCTCTACTGTTTATGCTTGCATGTTTTTTCTGATGCTAAGAACTATCTTTCTGATTCCTTGAAGAGATTCTAATAAGGCCTCCTGACCATACCCTCCTTCTGCTTTTTTTTTGCGGAACCAGGGATTGAACTCGGCCCTTGTGCTTGCCAGGCGAGCGCTGATTCCACTGAGCTATCTCCCTGGCCCCTGCATATTCATTTCTGAAGTGCAGCTTTGCTGGGAGTAGTATTCTTGGCTATTAGCCTAGTATTCTTTGCAAGGTTTTTTCTTTTAGCACTTTTGGATGAAACAAAGACCTAAAGGGGAAAGCCAAGCCATGTGCATAGGTGGCCCTTGGGAGGACACCGCACGGTCATGAGGGGTAGCACACACGTGTGAGTAAAGCACCCAGAGCGGGTCTGCGTGATTCACCCACAAGAAAGGAGACACTACCAGCAGGGAGGCGCTAGCTGTGCTACAAATAACCAACGAAGACTGAGTCTCCAGAACATAAAGAATTTCAGCAAGCCAGGGAGGACACGGGTCCTAATGGGCAGGCAGGCAACAGCCAGAAACGATGAGAAGACGCTTCACCTGGCGTGTGGTCAGAGAAGCTCCAGAATGCACGCTGCTGGATTACAGAAGTCAGAAGTCACCAATTCAGGGCACTGGTGAGATCGCAGAACTGGCAGGACACAGGACGCATCCAACTGGGGGACTGCTACCTGGTAGGTTTTAGGCTTAGCGCACAATGGAGAAGCACTTCACGAGCCCAGAGACAAGCACGATGTCCTCCGCGAGACCAGCATGGCAGCAAGCGCTGAGTGAAACCACAAGGCTCACCGTCACACTAGACAAAAATCGAGCTGACAGGGCCATCAATAAATCTGACGCGCAGCTGACAACCCAGAATTACCACATTCATTCTGTACAAATGCTGGTTAGCAGGCTGCTGACCCAGCCTTCCACGGAGGAAGGCTGTTGTCTCAGAGACAGCACTGGGGCTGAGAGTGGGCCGTAGGACACACACAATCCCTGCTTCACAGCCTTCAGAACAAGTCATCAGACTGGACAATCGCTTATTATGGGTACAGTCTATGGACTAAATTGGAGGAAATGCTAGAAAGATGGCTGGGTGGTGAAGCTAGGGCGAGCTCTCTCAGAAGGCAGCCAGGAGTCGCGCCCTGATGCGGTGGGAAGGCCTCTGCGCCACAGCTGCAGGAAACCCATGCTCCTTGGTCCTGGGGAGGAGCCAAAGTCTGCCAATCATCAGAGTGACAGAGGCGGACTCTCTCCAGATGAACCTTGATCGCAACTTTCTGGAGACACCCAAGCGGGGGACCGCGCTGAAGCAGGCCCAAACCCTGGGGCACAAGAATCGTGGGATAATGACCACCACGCGGGCTGCTGCCAGCCACCAAGTGCTGGGGTCACCCATCCCGCAGTGCTAGGCAACCACCACTGCTGCCTCACAGCTGCTTCATATCCTATTCTTTTCTCTGTCACTCAAAAGTGACTAAAAAATACACAGAATTTAAGTGACCATAACTGGGAAAGAGTATCCAGAACCTGTGAGTTTGTTTACTTATGTTACCTGGCTTTTTCTACAACCACCACACACTGCTTTAAGAAAAAAAAAAACACAACATCTTTCAAGAAAAAGTACAGCATAAAAATACCACAGTTCAAAAAGAATATGACATTTTATTTTCACTTAGGGAGGTACAGTACATGAATTAAATAGAATCATGAGAGTTCCCAAATATTGCCAGCTCTGCCCTCACACACCGAGATCAGCCCGCCCCTTCCCAGCAGGCAGCAGTGCAGAGCTGGTCTGCCGTGAGTGCTGACGTGAAGTTCTCGCTGGGAAGTCTGGTAGCACTTGGGTATCAGCCTACAGCAGACAGGAGCTACGTGTGGACATTCCATCTTTGGAACGAATGGTGGCTATTTACACAGTAAGAATAGGCGGCCTCCTCACCCACCCTATTCTGAGTTTAATGACTGATTTAAAGCTATGCAGGGTTTCCCAGATGTTATTTCCTTCAGCATTTCTAAAAGCAACAGCTCTCATTAATGTTTACAAAAGATAATGCTGAAAAAAATGTAATGTTAAAATAAAGGCGCTTTTAGAAATATTTAAGGACAACATAAGGTATTACTATTGGAAAAAAATTGTACATATTTCAAGCCCAACACTGAAATAGTATAGCAGTGTTCAAGTTGTTTTAAAATAGTGGTAATTATACTACTTTACATACTGCTCTAATATCTAAACTTCACAATTACAGTTTAAATATACAATCTGACTTACAACTACGCACAGCTTCTGAAGCATCATTTGGGGGGTGTGCACATGAAGTTGGTCCTTGATATGGAGACTGTCACGCCCAGGAAGCACTGAGTCCCACACGTACTGAGCAAGGCCCGGCAGGGGAAGGCAACAGTGCCGCGCGTGCAAAGGCAGCATGAGCTGCTCGGGGGCTGGGTGTCCTGGCGAGGGACGCCCATGCAGGGACAGAGGAGGCCGCAGGCGGGACAGGCATTCGCACAGGGGCGATCCTTCGAGCCGCCTGGACCTTTAGCAGAGGAGACAGACTTTACATTCTTTGATTTCATTTAGACTTTTTACAAAAGCTGAAGTACATGTGAACTCTTCGGTCCCACGCGAGCTCGCTGAAGCCCAGGGGCAGTGCAGGAGCTGACAGAGAGCCCTGGGCCACTCTCCCTCCCACCCAGGGCGTCACAGGCCAGCTCGCCAAGCTGACGACGGCAGGAGACCCACACTTAGGATCATGGGAGTCAGCTCCGTGCCAAACTTGTAGGGACGTCCAAAGGGTGTGGGATGGTAGGCCTGCTCACAGCCACTGCTTCTCTGGCAACAATGAAACTGAGCTAGAAAAATAATTTTACTGTTTTAAATAATGAAAGAAGCTAAGTTTTTAAAATATATTACTTATCTGCCACAGTTGATTAACTAGACAATGAGGAGATTCCTTCCATTCTGTGGGTTGAATTCAGACTCTATTTCAATTATTGTATAGTTCAAATTGTAGCTGCAACAATCCAAGAGCGAAGAGATCAAGGCCAGGACATGAGATCACCGTGGTGCCACCGCCCGCACTCCGCGGGACAAGTGTTTTTGGAGAAAGGCTTTCACAGTACCTGTGCTCACGTGGAAAGCGGGTCAGTAAAGACTCCAGTTCTGCAGCACGGCCTCTTCCAACCTGAGCCGCTTTCCACAAACACAAATTCAGTCTATCTTTTCTTTTTGGACCAATCTAGGAGCATCAACAAAATCTTTGCCATTGAAAAGAATAATAAAAAATGTTCCAATGCTTGCCACTCCCCAGAAGAGCACATAGGCCAGCGTTTCTGTCCAAGTGTCACCTGTTGATTTTACAAACCAGAGTTAGTGAAAGTTACTTGCTGACACCATATCCAGGGCCAGCTGTAGAGCCTCCCTTGAGGGGTCCAGTGTCGGGTGGAAGTGCTCGGATCTGGGCCCCGCACACATGCGGCAAGTCCTCTACTACCGAGACACGTTCCTCAGCCCTCTGGGAGAACTGATTTTGGAGAAGAGGTCTTGTGAAGCTGCCAGAGCTGGCCTGACATGCGTTGTTCCTGCCTCAGGCTGGCGTGGGTAGAATTACAGGTATCCACTACCAGGCCCGGCTAAGACTTGTACAATAATCAATTTTCACCTTAAAAATCCCTCTAAGACAATAAAAAAGAAAGCAGTTTCTTACAAGCTGCTGGGCACTTGCCCAAAGAGATCCACTGTGTTCAGGCTGAGTCCTTGAGGCTGCCTTTCCTGCCCCTCCAGAGGTTCTTTAACCAAATGCGGGTATAAGGAACAGAATGCTATGTGTGTAGCTCAGCGGTGGGATGCTTGTCTAACATGCTGAAGCCCTCAGTTTTATATAACCTCAGCACCACAAAACAATTAAAATGAATTAATTATCGAAGTACAAGACATACATTTTTCTTCTTGTAATGTCAAAGAACTAATCTTACCTACTCAATTTTGCTTTAATGAGACAGAGTCTCACTGTGTAGCCCAGGCTGGCCTCAACTTGGCAACCCTCCTGCCTCAGCCTTCCCCGTGCTGGGATGACAGGCGTGTGCCACCATGCCCAGCTCATGCTCATAAAACCTCACAAGTAAAGACCAAGGTCAACCCTTGACCTTGGGAAAACCCATGGTGTCACACCGAGGCCACCTCCCCTCAGGGCCACTGCAGGGTTCGAGGCGAGAGCAGACTCACCGGCCATGAGCAAGCAGATGATGCACATAGAGAAGGCGACCACCATGATGATGGGCAGCTGGAAAAGAGCACAGGCCCGTTACAGGCAGGCACCGACAGCTGCGCAACCGGTCACATAGGAAGAGCGAGACTGCCTGAAGCTGACGGCACACTACCTCTCTTCCCCTGGCCTATACCTTCTCACACAGAAAGGGGGCCAAAGCGCGCCTTGAAAGAGAAACAGCTCACAGCTACTACCCCTGCCCCGTGCTCAGTCTGCAGAAGCTGAGTGTCTGGACTTCACGCAGAACAGTGCAGAGCGGTTTTGGTTGAAAGAATTTGCAATGCCCACACCTTCACACAATGTATGCAACCTGAGAAAAGCGAAAGGTTCTTACAGCCAGGAATTTCCAGTCCCTTGGAACACTTAAAGGACTATGCGATTCCAATTCATCCACTGAATAGTTCCCAAGAAATAAGTCAATGGAATCCTAGAACAGAGGAAAGAAAATTAAATCCCTAGACTTTATGTGGCTACATAATTGAACAAAAATACAAACACACCATCCCCAATGACCAAATGTCAAATGCACTTACTTGTCTAAATCCATCAGAGAAGTTGTTCTTGTAGTAGCGTATCAGCGAGTTCCAGCCATCCATGATAAGGCCCAACTGGGTTCTCTTTCCAGTTCTGATGAAAAGAGGCTCAATTTTAAATTGGAAACCGGCACACTCAATTCTCAAGCTGTTTCATGGTCAGTACATTGTGGAGATGAATCACAAAGATGCTAAAAATCTCCCTGAAAACACCATTTTGCAAAAGAAGTCATAGCTGCTCCAAGGCACAGGCTCGGCCAGCCCTCTGCGCCCTTGGAGCCCCCAGGGTGCAGGTGCCGGGCTGCCTATGTGCGCCCCGCAGGCCGCGGTGGTCTTCAGGCTGAGCAGCCACTGCGCACTTCAGGTAGGCGCGACGACCAGGAGAGGAGTCACGTACGCTCACCACATGCACAAGTTCCCTTTCAGTCTATGGTTGCTTAAATCACCACTACATAGGCACAGAATTCATGGACACAGGGCCAACTAAGAGCGACAAAGAGCAAAACAGTTCCAGCCACAAGACAGGTGTGAGGAAAACTCACAGCAGCAGTCGAGCGGTAGGAAATGGCAACCAGACGCGGGATTTGGGGCCCAGGGAACGCACCCAGTCCGTACAGGAGAAAGGACTCAAGGCACCAGGACCAAGGCCACAGCATCCTCCCGGCCATGTGGCCTGGGCCGTGGCACTGGTGGCACCTGCAGCTCTCAGCCCGTGGAAAAGTGTAAGAAGCACTGCAGAGCCCTGCTCCTCAGCCCCATGCACCGGGAGTCCTGGGCAAGGCTAAGAACACACTGAGCCCAGGGCTCATCGCAGGCGCCCTGATAGGACAGGTGACCCGAGCAGCAGGCTGCTGCTGGTGGGACGTGATTCATCGGGGTGCTTGCCTGGTAAAGTCAGTCTTCAAGGCACCAGTTCCCGCATACTGTTTGGCACAAGCATTTGCATTGTCAGCCCAGGCTATAAGAAAAATGAGAAGAGCTGATCAAAATTAAAATATCAGCCATGGTCTTAACTTTAAAAAATTAATTTATTTCAAAAATTCAGCAATTCTGCCTTTATTAGAGACATCACCTACCATTCTTGTAAATCTTCTCAAATTCATCTTGTTCTTCAAGCTTCTGTCCTACATGCAAAACTCCTAGTCTCTGGAATGAGAACCACACCCGTATTCACGTGTAACTGCTTCAGCAGATACAACTCAGCAAGAAAAAGCCGGCAGTCTCCAGACCCTGCCTTGTTTCCTGGCTGCTGGCCGCAGGGCCTTCTTCCACCCAGGACAGACAGACAGCAAAGCCTTTCCAGAGGCCACTGGGGCCCACCACAGGAGCCCCAGCACCACATGCACTGGGGCACCACAGGCCGGGGACAGGGAGCAGGAGGGCGCGGCCACTGCGAGACGTGAGCGGCTACTTCCTCCTTCCTCTCACCTAACTTCTACTGCTGTCCATGCCTGAATGTCTTCACTCCTGAGTCACCCAGGGACTTCGGGTCTATCAGCCACACAGCTGGAAACCTGGCCCTGCCCCTTGTCTAACTGCCATCTTTGCTCCCCGTCTTGCTCAGAAGGGGCAGCTCCACCCTCAGCCACAGCGCAGGGGCCACCCTGCTGGTAACTGGGTAAAAACTGTCCTCACTGGGCGTGGAAAAATGAAACCAGAGCCTCCATGTTCATTGGCAACGCTGCTCTAGAGGGTCTAGCCCGAGCCCAGAGGGCTCTGAGAGGCCCCGAGGGCCCGTAACGCTGTGGATGGCATGGCCAGAGCGTGAGCCTCGATCGCAGAACCTCTTCAGCTCTGTCTAGCTCGCCAGAAGCCACACCGCTCCTCACTGTTTCTACTAAGCAATGTGCCTCCGGCACTCTCACCACACTGAGGAAGGCGGCAGCAGCAAGCTGGAGACTGCCAATGAAAACATCGCTCCGCAGCAGGCATTATTTTAGGACTCACCCTAACAGTGATACTCTACCTCCACCATGTCCTCCCTGGACCATACAACTGTCAGAAGTAAAAGGGAACGCTAATCATCGAGGCAGCAAACCATCTGAGATGCCCTTGCTGCCCATCACAACAATTGCCAATGCGACTTAGAAATCTGGGTTACAGTATTTTTTTTATTTTTTATTTTTTTTGTGTGTGGCCAGCTCAGCCCACCAGGGGCGCGGCTGGCTGGCATGTGGTGCTGGGGGATTGAACCGCAGTCCCTGGGCTTTGCTAAGCTTGTTCTAAATAGGTGCTTTAGACCGCTGAGCCATCTCACCAGCCCTACAGTATATTTTTAATTGCAAATAAAACCAGAAGATATTTGTATCTTTTCTCTCGCTAGCAAATCAATCTTGATGGCCAAACAAAGTTGTATCAGAATGTTCTACCTGGAAGTTATTATCCTCTGCCAGTAATAAAATGCAAATGCAAATGAACTTGAAGTATAACTTTGTACTATTAAAAGAGAAAAAAATATCTAATATTAGCAAGAATTCAATGAAATCAATTTACTTATTTACTGCTTATTCATTCATGTAAACTGGTATAACCTTCTTGGAAAGTAATATATTCTCCTTAACAATAATTCCAACTCTAGAATTAAGTCAAAGGAAATAATTTGTTAATAATAAAAACAGGTTTATTCTGTAGAGTATTACTTAAAGCCAAAAGCACAGCAACTTAACTGGCTGAATGCACTGTAATATACAACCATTAAAAGTTATGATTACATAAATATTAAAGGAAGTGACAGATTAAAAATTGTGCATCCAGTCAGGTATAATAGTACATGCCTGTAATCTCAGCACTCGGGAGGCTGAGGCAGGAGGATTATCCTAAGTTTGAGGCCAACTGGGATACATAAGTTCAAGGTCAGTCTGGACTGCACAGAGAGACCCTCTCTCAGAAGGCAAAAAATAAATATAGCATGCTTCCACATTCTAACCATATGCAGAAAATGAAGGCCATCCACAAAAGTAAAAGGGGTCAGGTAATACGGGGGCAAGGCGGATGACATTTCCTATTGATTTTGAAAGATAAAGGTTATTCTTTGCCACAGTTTTTGAAGGAAGGGGAGGGAAATGGGAGAGGGAGAGTGACCAAGGAATACCATGTGTGGTACAAAGGTCAGTATGTATATGTAAAGAATTAAAACAAGAACCCACACCTGAAGCTGGGCCTGAAGTGAGCGTCGTGCTAACAAGCTCTGGACCACGTTGGTTCTGTCAAGACAATCCATGCAGTTGCTGCGGAACACGCCTTCCTGGTTGGTCATCACCTTGCCGGCAGAGTCTACTAGAAAATAACTAAAACATATTTGTATAAACACTCTCATACCAAAATAGGCCAGCCAGATCTACTAACGAGCACCGCCCAGAGCATGGCCTCCCATCAGTGACACTGTGCAGCCACCAGTCAGGAACGATGACAGACACAGGAATGATGGGGACTTAGTACTCTGCACCACCAGAAGCTGAGCCGAGGCACACAGCCCCTACCCAAAAGCAACTGTGATAGCAGAGCCCACCCTGCCTGAGAGGGAAAGACGACAGGGGGACTGCTCCGGGCAGTACAGGCCGTCGCCCTGAACGGAGCTCCTTCCATGCTGCCGGCCCCACAGGGCTTTCTGGTTGACGTTCAGCCCGTATCAGAATTCCCAGGGTAGCTTTTTAAACATGAAAATGCTTCACCTGGAGATCAACTGAGTCAGAATCTCGGAAGCAGGGACTAAACACATCAAAAAGTGTTTTTGCTTTTGGTACTGAGGACTGAATCCAGGGCCTTCATGCTGAGTCACATGCCCAGCCCTTTTTTTTCCCCAGCCCTTTTTTAAGTTTGAAAGGGCCAGGGAGATAGCTTGGTAGAATAAGCGCCTTCCTGGCAAGCACAAGGTTCTCAATTCAATCCCCAACACCACAAAAAATAAACAAATAAATAGATAAAAGTTTGAGACAGGGGCTTGCTAAGTGCTACAGGGCATCTTGGAACTTCTAACCCTCCTGCCTCAGCTTCTGGATTAGCTGAAAAGCATATACCAACACAACCGGCCCCTCTTCTTTTTAAATGAAGAACACATGCAAACAGTACAGAACATAAAAAGCACATCCAGGTATTATCTGAGGAATCAGTTTCCCTTTCTTCCCTTAACCACCCAGATACAGGTGCTGCAGCCAACCCTGACACCATAGGGCAACTAACAGTTCCTATGCTTCCTGCATTCTTAACAGCTCCTCACATAATGCCATCAACTCAAAAATTTGACAACACTTAGCGTAGTAATTAAGAACAACACATGGGGGACTGGTGAGATGGCTCAGTGGTCTAAAGCACCTACTTAGAACAAGCTTAGCAAAGCACAGGGACCATGGTTCAATCCCCCAGCACCACATGCCAGCCAGCCCTGCCCCCTGGTGGGCTGAGCTGGCCACACATATACACACACACACATAAATAAATAAATAAATTAATTAAAAAAAAAAGAACAACACATGGACTCTGACCAATAGCAAATAACCTGTTTGCTAACTATAGGCAGCTTCCTACCATTAACTAAGACTAAAGATGACTGCTTCACCGTCAGGCGGCTCCAAGGCGTGAATGAGATCATGCATTATGCACAAAGGAGGGCTACGCACAGCACACTCGGCAGAGCATGAACACACGTACCCACATGCTCAAACGGCCGCCCAGAATCCTACAGGAAGGGGACACGCACACAGTACAGCTGTCAAGGGCTAAACAGAAATTATACCCAGGAGGACGAATGTAGATAAAAAAAATCTAGTCGAGGTTGTGCAGAATTTGCAAGGTGGGTTTAGAGCTGGCATGCATGCACACACGTGCGGCAGTATGCACATGTGTGGGGGCACGCACTGGTGCCGATGAGCCAACGCTAGATACGCTGTAATAGCATTTCCTGAACACCATAAACCTGTTAGGTAGTGCCTTCATTTTACACCAAGTTTGAAGACAACCAACAAGCTCCAAGGCCACATACCTAATGTGAGCTAAACTGAGATCTAGACCAAGATGCATCACGACTAGAGGCCCAGCCTCTCTCCATTACCAAAGCCCAGGAATACAATGTCTCGAAAACTCATCTGAGAGCCACAGGTCAGAGCCTCCCAGTCCCTGGGCACACAGTGAGCAGCCGCAGACACATGCTCAGGTACCAACCTTCCCTCTCTGTCAGTCTCCTATGACCACTCAATGGTGAACCCACGAAGCCTGCTGCCCAAGGACGCGCTAGATCCAGCCATGGTTTTCTCCAACAACACAAGGTCTGTCTCCCTTCACTCACTGTTCTGATGGTGAAACCTCACAAAAAACTGTGACACACTGCCCATGGCCAGAAGCACCAGTAACATGCAGGTGGCTGTCCCACTGGGCAGCGCGCACACCAGTATACAGATGGACCTAAGCACTGTCATTCATAAAAGCCCTGTGACAGGACAGTCATGCGCACCACACATGGCTCAGGCTGTCTGACAGAAAGACGCAGGAATTACAGCCCCGCGGTGTACGTGAGCGTGCTAACTGTAGCAGGTTACTCCACCAAGCAAGTGCCTACCAGAGAGGCTTTACTGCATGAAAATATAACTAAAAATGTTATTTGAGTTGCCAGTTTTAGAACTATCACACAGGCAGGAGAAAATGACAGAAGGATTTACAAATTCCTTAAACTACATAAGACTAACGGATGTTTACAATACAGTAAGCCTGCGAACCAAATGATAAATTAAACAGCACACAGCACAGAGCGCCCTGCAGAGGGGCTTAGACCAGGCCCCACCCACCGCGCTCCGAGCTGCTCCCCTCGGGGAGATGCGCAATGGCCCAGCTTTTCACAGCAGAAAGAGAAACAGAAACAAAGCAGACACGTACTCAAAGGAAAGCATTTAGTTAGGTGATGTTAGGACCACACAAATATAGAAAAGCCACCGCCAGCACAGACTACACAGGCTGGTGACAAAATACCTGTGACCAAAGGTTCAGTGACAGTGTCTTAAATTTAAAGCAGTTCTAAGTGAAACTTAATGTCTGGTGTGCACACATGTGCACATGCGCAAAAGATAATCGTGACAGGGGTATGCCTGACATTCTAGCACTTTTACAAATTTAGAAATATATGGATAACCACTAAGAAGATAACAATGTACAACGTATTAATTATTGAAACTGTCTTATTAATCAGTCTTGAAACTGTCTTATTGCTACTTCTCAATAAAATAAAATTAAAAAATAATTAAAAAATTAAAAAAAAAAGATTTTAGAAATATTCTTATCATTCCAAAACAAAATTTAAGGGCTGGGAAGATAGCTCAGTAGAATAAGCGCTCGCCTGGCAAGCATAGGGTCCTGAGTTCAATCCTCAGTACCACAAAAAGAAAAAAAAATTTAAACAATATTAAACACAAGTAACAACAATCCATTGAACTATCTTTTTTACATCTGCCAAATGGTACATAATAAATGCGACTGACAGACACAGGTACACCCGTAAGGAACCAGCACAGCTTACCCTAATTCATCTTGCATTTCAGCTACCTGCTCCATTAAAATGCTCAGCCGATCCCATCTCATATGTCTGCACTCCTTATGGAAGTCGAAGGCGATGTACCTACCAGCAGAGAACATGCTCAGAAATTGGTAAGAGGGGCCAGGGAGATGGCTCAGTGGGAGAAGCGCTTCTCTGGCAAGCACAAGGGCCTGAGTTCCATCCCCAGTTCCGGAAAAAAAAAAAAAAAAAAAATTGGCAAGAGATCGTTTACTTCCCAGCAAAACCTTCCTGGGGTGACTTCCCCCTGAAGTCACACGCTTGGGGCACACACACTTCTTAGGGACAGCCAGCCTCCTTCACTTGGGTTGGCTGCTCTACTGCACCCCTCTTGTGATCGTAGCTGTGAGTACACTCTATGTGTGCGTACAAACACCCACCCCACCCCCCGCTCACTGTTCTCCAGAGCCAGCCAAGGGCAGCTGAGGAGGGGCACAGCACGTGCTCTCAGAGTGGAGGGGCCCCCACGAGCGCCTGGCCTACACGTGTTCTCCGGCCCAGTGTGTGAGAAACGGGCCGGTTCCTCTTATTTTTAAATCCATTGCTACCTGCAAAGTGCCGAGACACCAGGCCCATCCGAAAGCGTGGCTGAGCGCGTGCTTCACACGAGGCCTGTGAGAGTGTAGGGCAGGCTGATCCCTGCAGCCTGAGCAGCAGCTCGCAGGTGGGGCCCCATCTGTACCCCAGGAGCCCACACCCTGCTCACATCCCTGCCATCTCTGGCGCCACAGGAGGGCAGCACCTCCTCTGGACCCTCTCTGCGCAGCTGACTGCGCACTGTCCCTCCAGCAGTCCTAAGACTGCGGCCAAAGCTCTGCAGCAGAGCAGGACATGGACAGACGTGGAGTGGATAGGGCACTTCCTGTGTGCATGCCAGCCTCTCTGGAGTGCAGGCCTTGGGGGAAGATTTGCTCCCCTCTGAAGAGCAGTGTTTTTATCTCGATACAGAACCTTCGTACGAGGTAGCCCGACGTCTGGACCTATGCTGCTGACCCATTAAGCCACCATCTAAAGCTTACTGCAGATGAGTGAGGATTACCTCTGCCACACATAAGTGCAAGGTACAGACACTGAAAAGGGAAGGTGCAATTCTGTAAAGGCCTAATGCCTCACAGGCACAGAGCCTGGATGAGGGAACTGTTACCAGGGAGTAAACTCAAATTAAAGCTTGCCTGTGCAGAAGTTACTCTGCAACATGAATTCGGTCAGAGGCAACTTAAAACCAACAAAAATTAAAATCATGCTTTGGCCTGGCACTACAGTATGGTACAAGCACAAGGAAGTGTGGTCAGCACTCCACTCAGATGCGTGCACATACACAGCTGAGTGCAAACAGTCGCAGCGCACGCCTGGCAGGTACCTGATCATCCCGTTGCCCAAGGAAGACACCATGGTTGCGAATGCCTGTTCAAGTGGCTTCTCAGAGCCCTTCTGGTTCACCTGTAAAAAATTCCAAACACGGCTTTTGAGCTTATTTCAACAGTGAGTAGAACCAGGCAAAGAGCGAGGATGTGCCATGCCTTCAAGCTGCCCAGGCAGGAGCACAGTGCAGGTCAAGGTCAGCCTGGACCAAGGACAAAGATACCACTCAACCGAAACAGAACACCCACCAGAGCCAAGTGAAGCAGCTTTGAAGGAGCTAAGGAAAAGAACCAAAGGTCCACAGCAGCCAAGAAGGTAATCAGTCAAGAAGAGGCCACCTTCCAAAGTGCAGGCAAGCTCTCTCGACATTTTCACTGAGTCTCTTCCAAGACGGTGCCAAACCTGGCAGAAATCTTAGCTCGGCTCCCTTCACTTTACCCGGGGAAGCAAATTAGGCCTTGCTACAAGTATTTATACACCTCTCCGCTTACCAGAAGGGCTGACTCACTCATGTCTGTCGCAAGTAACTGAACACAGGCGGGAAAACACTCAACACTGTATAAAAGCTGTAAGAAGACCACAGGCCACCGGACGCCTGGGCACGAGATCTGGGTGAAGATGCACAGAACCCCCAAACGTGGAAAGGATGCCAGGTGCTGCTCTTTGGGAAACAGGGACATTCAAAAGCAGCTTGTACAGGGAGCTGTGAAAGCCAGCCCCACGCCCAGGCAGGATGCATGCACAGAAAACCCTAAGAATGCCACAAGCCTCCCCTCAGGCTGCGCCCCAGCACAGTGCCAGCAGAGAACGCCCGGCTGCGAGGAGTGGGAAACATGGCTGTGCTCTCATCTGTTTTGTCTGCTTTGCTAGTGCTTCAATTCCTAGAATCCAACAGACCAGTCAAAGGCACTAGCTGAACACGGTGGCCAAAGGAAGTAAGTTTTCTAAGACTGCGCAGAACAAGGAATGGCCTTTGCAGATGTTGTCTGGAAAAGCCTCCCAACCAATAGATTTCTATAGTCTCCAACAAGCAAGAACAAAATGAAACAAAACCAAAACAATATAGTAGAATACAACACACCCTGGGGGGGAGAGAACCAACTTTCAGAGTTCACAATTACACTTAACAATTATAATATGCCATATAAAAAAAAATCATAGGCACACAAAACAGCAGGAAAATATAGTACATCTAAAGGAAAATCAACAGACAGCAACAGTAGGCTGACTATACAAGGACTTTAGATCACTGATCTTAAATACGTTCAGTGAGCTAAGTAAGGGAAAATGCGGACCAAGAGCTAAAGGAAATCAGGAGATACTATACGAACAAAATCAGAATATCAACAAAGAGACAGAAATTACCCAAAGGAACCGAACAAAGAACAGGAACAACACAGTAAAGATGAAAGAACAACAACTGAAATTAACTGGAAATTTAGCAGGAGCCCAGCAATAGATCTAAGCAGCCAGATAAAGAATCTGAAATTGTATGGAGGAAGAGAAAGAAGGACAAGAACACCAGCGACAGAGACGGAGCTCGGTGGTAGGACACTTCGCTGGCATGTATGAAGCAAAGAGAAGACAGAAGGAAGAGGTGTGAACAGGTGAGCAGACCTCGGGGACACCACCCAGCTAGGAGAAATAAGAGGAGCAGAGAGGATCCACATAAAAAAACTGGCCCAAAACTTTCCAAATTTGATGAAAGACATGGATCTTTAAATGCAAAAAGTACACTGTAAAACTGAGAGTGGTGGTCCAGTAATCCTGGCTGCTGGAGGACAAGGCACGATCGCTACAAGCCTGAGACCAGTCTGTGCTACAAAGTGAGTTCAGGGCCAGCCTGAACTAAACAGTGAAACCCCGTCTCAACAAAAATAAAAATAGGGGCTGGTGAGATGGCTCAGTGGTCTAAAGCACCTACTTAGAACAAGCTTAGCTAAAGCACAGGGACCGCGGTTCAATCCCCCAGCACCACATGCCAGCCAGCCCCGCCCCCTGGTGGGCTGAGCTGGCGCCACACACACAAATAAATTTAAAAAAATAAAAAATAAAAATAAAAAACTAATAATAACAAAAAGGGACAGTCTAAAACATGGATAAACCTTTAAAACACATGCAGTGATATACACAAAATCCAAAAGGGCACATTTTGTGATTTCAATTATGTGGGAACCTAGAACAGATACAATTCAGAGAGCTAAGAAGTAGCAGAGACCTCCTGGGGCTGGTGGGGTGAGGGCGGGTGCGCACATTTAACAGCACAGCGCCAGCCACAAAGGGAAGTGGGGTGACTGCACGTTGGGAAACGCTTAATGCCACTGAGCTATCATTTTAAGATGCTTAAAACAGTAAATTTTCAGTTAACTTAAAAAGAGTTTGATTTTTGTTTCACCCTCCCCAAGAAACACACAAGAAACGTACCAGATTGATTATGACTTGTTTTCCATAAATAATTACTTGTGAATCAAAGTGCCTCTGGAAGCCGTCCATCTGGGGGGAAAGTACATTACTTGACATTACAGAAATATTTACAGTATTTTTTAAAGTACCCTCTCAAATGTCCTATTTCTGTATTTCAAGGACTAGTGTTAGGGCAGGGATCATGTCTTCTAAATGGCCTAAATACCATGTAGTAAAAATAGCTAAAAGCCATTGTTCTGTGAGCTCCCACACCACCGTTCTAACCGTGATTACGGCCTCAACAGAGTGCATGCGGTGCTCTGGGCAGCGTGCGCTCAGGACCCCCCCCCCCCGCCTCCCAAGTCCACACTTGCTGCGCCACGCAGCCATCTATGCACAAGCTGGGTTTCAAGGTTTGTGGGTGCCAGGACCCAGGAGGAGGGCCTCAGAGCTGCGGAATTCTGATGGATGGGGAACAAACACGCATCCTGTCCACAAGCTACCACGCCCGCCACAGGCTTCCCGATGCCAGCCAGTGAAAACAGCAGGGAGGTACCTACGTGATTTGCTGCTTTGCTGATCTGTGGCAGTGGCTTGTACTTGAGGTTTGGTCTTTGGGACCAGAAAACAGGGATTGATCCTCGAGTCTAAAAGAAAAGAAACACAAACAAATCTTAACTTTCTCACCTTCTTGTCAGCAGTATAGATATGAAAGGCTACAATGGAAAAAATTACACAAACTACATGCTATGAAAGAGTAGAGATGCACCTATTTTTAAGGCTTATGTTTTATGGAAATAGGCTCAGAAAGGACTTTTCCTCCTCTTAGTTTTAGAAAGACGTCATCTGTGTAGGCAGTTCTGTATTTCCTCTGAATTCTAAAATAAACAAATTTATCCAAATAAAAATTAACAAGTAACAGAAATACCGTGGTTCACAAAGCTCCTGTTTGCAAACAATTCAGTGTGCAGACTAAACTGCTCCAGCAAAATTTTGTTTCTGTTTGTCAACTCCATTTCGGGTGACAAACACAACTGGGGATAGCTGTCTCCCCCCAGAAACACAAACTCAGCCATCTTTCCCAAAATCAGAAACATAAATTAAGTTCCTAAATTGAGGTGTCACTATATCTTTTATAATTCAACTTTACAAAAAATCAGGAAACTGCTTTATTCATTGTCGAAAGAATCCACTTATGAGTATGTATTTCAGTCAGGATCACAAGCAGAAAGTGACCTCCGAGTCCAGGAGGGCTGCCCCGCCCAGCGCTGGCACCTGCAGCTCCCTCTCCCAGGGCCTGGACGGCTACAGTCAAGCCGAGGAGCGACCCAACCACCCCACAGCCTGCGCACCTCCCGCCCCACCCTCTCCTAGGGCCTCAGCTGAAGGGCAGGAAACCCGGCCAGGGCCAGACAACGGTGCCTTTCCTGGAGTGCATGGCCCCACCTCACTGACTGAGGTGACTCAAGAGGAAGGGAAGGGAAGGGAAGGGAGGAAAGCAGAGCTCGGCAAGACTGAACACGATGGTGGAGCGGGTCAGGCCGCCGAGGGGCGACTCGCCTGCACGAACGAGGCCCTGCTCCCTCCGTAGTGCACAATTTGCTCCGTTTCTACGAAGTTGGCTGCATGGCCTTCAGAATCAATTCCTAGATTGAAAAAAAAAAAGTGAGTCAATTATAATCCATACATAAGAAACACCAGGAACACACTACCTCAGGCTAATTCAGTTCTGATGAACGGAGAAGTACTATACTTACAAAATTAAAATTCAAACAAGTGCGTAGTGCACAACAGAAAACTAACACAAGCTTACTCTTTTTTTTTTTTCACACTCCAACTCTGCTTTTATTGGCGTCACTCTTACATGCGGGACTGTGAGGGACAGAACACAGACTCCAGGGCCGTGCCGCGCTGACAGCACGGTCGGCAGAGATCCGGTGCTGCCTGCATACAAGGCCCGGTGCCGAGCAGGACAGCGAGGCTCGAGGGCCGGACGCACAGACGTGCGCGCGAGGCGGCGGCTTGCAGTGCACACTGCGCGCCTCGCCTGGGTCCCAAGTCCCAACGGCTGCTGGCTGGGTGTGTCGTCAGGCGCCGACTCTCTGTGGCATCAGACTGCAATTAAGACTGGACACCTGGGCACATCACATACTGTTTCTCCCTAAACATTTACGGGTACAGCTGTGTTTTCCGAAATGTTTCGTTAGTGATACTCAGTCTTATCAGCCTGGTTCCATAATAGTCTATGATGTAACTACTTCCACCTGAAGGTCCAACGGTCTCGTCGTCTCCTCGGCGCCGGCTGTGGTGGTGGCAGCCACCCCCCAGGAGCCCAAGGCGACGGCCGCAAGCCACAAGACGCCCAGCAGCTGCGCGGCCACAGGATCGGCAGATGCGGGCCACGGGCCCTGGCGGCCGCCACGCTGGCCCAGCGCACCACCAAGCTTATTCATTTAAACAGGCTTATAGAAACATGAGGCCTGCTAGCACACTGATGGAGCTGGCCACTACCCTTCATGTGCATAAGCCTCCTCTAAAGCAGGGCTTCTCAAACTTGACCATGTTTTAAAGAAAAACTGTTCAAATTGCTTCTCAGCCTTTTGGCTAAGATCAAGTGAAGAAAAACTGTTCAGCTGGGTGTAGTTGCACATGCCACCTGTGAACCCAGCACTCAGGAGGCTGAGGCTGGAAAATCACTCTGAGTTGGAGGCAAGCCTGAACTACACAGCAAGAACTTGTCTCCAAAAAAAGAGAAAGAAAAAGGAAAAAATCCTCCCAAACATGTTCAAAATTCTACTCTGAAAAATACTGTATTTTGAAAGTTAGAAAATCACACTTAGTAATAACACAATACTAAATGTAATTGTAGACCATTTTGTTAATAACGTTTAGTTATAACACAAATGGTGCCTAGAAAATACTTATTTTAATTATAAAATAAGCCATTCATAGTCTTAGAACATCTACTCCTGAGGCCGGGGTGATGGCTCAGTGGAATAAGCGCTTCCCTGGCAAGCACAAGGGCCTGAGTTCAAGCCATGGTTCCGCAAAAACAAACAAAAAAAAGAACATCTACTCCTCCAAGAATATGCCCACAAAACTTAGTGGAGCCAGGCGTGGTGGCACATGCCTGTAATCCCTGCACTCAGGAGGCTGAGGCAGGAGGATCGTTACAAGTTTGAGACAAACCTGAGCTACAGTGAGTTCAAGGCCAACCCAAGCTGCATAGCAAGACCCTGTCTCAAAAAGACAGGAAAGGGGCTGGCGAGATGGCTCAGTGGTCTAAGGCACCTACTTGGAACAAGCTTGGCAAAGCACAGGGACCGCGGTTCGATCCCCCAGCACCACATGCCAGCCAGCCCCGCCCCCTGGTGGGCTGAGCTGGCCACACACACACACACACACAATAAATAAATAAATGTTAAAAAAAAAAAAAAAAGACAGGAAAAAAAATTTTTTGAAAACTCCCTAGTTGGTGCAGGCAGGCACAGGGGCCAGGGGTTTAATCCCCAGGCCTGCCGTGCCAGCCCCTTGGCGTGGTGGCACACGCCTGTAATCCCAGCTCTCAGGAGGCTGTAAACAGGTGAATCACAAATCCGATCTAGTAGTGAGACCCTGAACACCCTGAAGACCTTGCCCTAAAATACAAAAACAAAACAAAACAAAAAACAAACCACCTCCCTAGTTAGAAAAGCACTGCGCTCCAGCATCTACCCAGACCTGACGCTGAGGAGACCAGTGCACCAACTGAATACTCCCTTTGGACAGTTTACACAATCTACTTTTATAAAGAAAGGCCTGCTAAATAAAGCGAAACAGCTTTCAAGTTTGCTATTGACCTAAATTCCCAAATGAGCAGAGGAAGTCCTCGGGGCTTTAATTCCCAAACAACCCTAACACCCTTGCTACAGGAGAGCCCCGCAGCCCCTCAGAGCAGTCAGGCAGCAGCCTCCAGGGCCCAGCAGGCTGGCCAGATGATACAAAGGGCAGGTGAGGCATGAGAGGCCCACGCACTCTTCCAAGGGGAAACATCGGGACCTAGCAAGGTTATGAAAATGAATACAGAACTGTGCTGCAGAACAGACGTTCAGTAGCAGATCCGACCGATCTGAGCCACACTCCGGGCAGTCTCACCTCTGACATAATAGCGCACCCCAGCTCGGAAACAGCTCCTCCTGGAGATGAGAATCCAATCGAAGTATTTTCCATTGATAGAACACGAGTGCATGTTAATAACTGAACCACGTTAAGAAAAATATAGTATATCCAAGCATAGGTGCTATTTCTAGATTCAATCTGAATTTTTTTATGCTACTGAGAATGAATCACCTTTAAGAGAAAAAGGATAGAGATACACACATCTTCCTGGCTCTCCACGAATATTCCTAAGATGCAGTACTGCCTCCTTCTCAGTTTAAGTCAGGAGCCCTACAGAGCCCTGCGGACAGGGTGCTTCCCCACTATCAGACATGGGTGCCTTCCCATAAGCCACTTTTTTTGAGAAAAGGTCTCACTGTGTGGTTCCAGCAGGCCTTGTGCTCACTTTTGTGGCCTCCAGGCTGGTCTCTAACTCAAAGAGATCCTCCTGTCTCAACCTCCTGAATGCTGGGATTACAGGTGTATGCCACCACAGCCTGTACACATATGCAGGGCCAGGAGTCCTTGCGCTTGCCAGTAAGTGCTTATGCCTCTGACCTGTCTCCACAGCCCCTCCACGAGCCACTCTTGAAAGCCATTAACTATATTACTAAAAAACCTACTCTGGATGAGAAACAAATGTAAAACAGATGAGCTTTTAAGAAATGAGAGGGGCCAGACTACTGCAGCTGGAGGACACCTGGACCTGCCACCTGTGTCCGGCCCCCAGCTTCACCTCCTGTGCTGCCCCACAGCCTGTGCTTCTAGCTCTGCTCCTGACTGGGACAGGACACAGGTTCTTTTGTGCTCTTCCCTCAGTGTGTCCCTGAAGCTCGTCACAGGCACTCCTCTGCCTGCACACACAGCATGTCCCATTGCCCACAGACAGGTAGGCTGTCCCATGTTCTGGGTCAGAACCAGTAGAGCTTAGATGGGTAGGACAAGCTCAGGCTCCAGCTCCGAGCAGCAGCACTGGGTTCAGAGGCCAGCACCACCTTCTGACCTTGGCCAGCTCCTCTGGCTCCTGACCTCTGCCTACGCTGGGCATCGCCTGCTTTTCCCTGTGTGCTGGCTGGGCCCTGAGGCAAAGGAGAAGACAGGTTTGTTTCCAAGGCCCTACTTTCACTTCCTTGGCTGTTTAGGTTTGCCTTATGGTTATTTTCTATATTTATCATTTTTAATACACTAACTTTATTCATCAAATATACTGCATACTAAAGCAAACACCTACGAACCACCACCTACCTCCAAGACAACTCCCAACCCAGATCCGCCAGTCCCCCACTCCAGTCTGCTGCCTCCTCAGGCTTGCAGAAACGTCCAGGTGTGACTGGGGTCTTACTGAGGCGGCGCCACCACAATCCCAAACCCCAGCCCTGGTCCTGCTCCCTGTAAGCGCCGAGGTGCACCCTTCCACGGCGTGGAGCTCTCCGCCAAGGCTGTGTGCGGCCCTCAAGGACCAGGGTGTGCACAGCGGGGCCGAGCCTCCGCGGCTGTGGACGCGCCTGTAAGCGCCTGCTGGTGGGAATGCACTGAGAGTGCACAGAAATGCTAGCAGAGTCACAAGAAAATGCCAAATAATTTTCAAATGGTGGCGCCAAGGGACTCAGCCCAGTTCCTGCCCTTGCTAGTACCTCAGCTCACCAACAGCTCCTCTCGACAGCACCAGAGGGGATTCCGAGACAGTATGTAATTGCTTATAGACTCTGCTAAATCATCCACAGTGAGCTGGTCACAAAGTAAACAGGAGTCTGCTTTTGAGGGCTGGGTCTGGCAGCAAATGATGTGCTACTGCACAGGTCACGTCCCCTGGGCAGAGGCCATGCAGACTCCGGAGGCTACAGGAAGCACAGAGGAATGCGAAGAGACCACCCCATGGAGGCCCGTCACAGGAAGGTGACTTCTGTGTCCGTGCGGGACTGGGGACTAAGCCCTGTGGTTCTGCACTACATCCCTGGCCACCTTTTCCTTCTCACACAGGGTCTGGTGGGTCACCACCCTCTTGCATGAGCCTCCCAGAGTGAAGGGTTACACTTTCCTTCTCTAGGCTTTGCATCTCACATATTTGCAACCTCCAGCATTCCTGTCACCCCACCCCAGCCTATGACACCGTTTCCCGGACCTCTACAGAAGCAGAAGCCCTCACCAGGCTCTGGCCAGAGCACACGGCCAGCACAACTCCTACAGCCACCCTCCTGCCTGCTGAGCCACGGAGGAGTGCCTCACCAGCCCTGCCCTGCACAGCTGACGAGCCACCAGCAGGGCCTCTGCCTCCTGGACCCTGACTGCCCTCGCTCTCTGCCACCATCACGCTGGGCCGGCTTCCTCTTCCTGGAAGGCATCGGCTGTCATTTACTGCAGCAGCCCTGGGACCTGGCCCTCTGCTCACCCAATCCTGTTCATCTTCCTCACAGAGCCCTAGGCTGTCACAGTGACCTGTCAGACTCCTTCCAGTCTCTGGGCACAGTCTGTCTCAGGTCACCTGCGCTCTGCCCAGCAATTGCATCTCCACCTGAACATCGCAGCTCCTAACCTGCTGGCGTCCACCTCACTGCACCTCCCTCAGCCTCTGCCTCCCAGCAGGACTGGCTTACACCCACCCCTCTACTCAGATCCCTCCCAGATCATCCCTTTTCTATATTTTTGCAGTGTGTGGCATTGAACCCTGGGTCTCTGCACAGAGCCATGCCCCCAACCCTTCTGTATTTTTAAATTCAGAGAGAAGGTTTTGCTAACCAAGTCACCCAGGTTGGGGTTGAACTTGTGTTCTCCTGCCTCGGCCTTCCAGTGTGCACACACTCTGCTTGGCTTCTCATTATTATGAACAAAAAAGCCACAGTCCATGTGGGCCCATCAAGCTCTACAACCCGGCACAGGACTGAGCGTGCTGACCTATGTGCCGTGCAACAGGACTACTTCCCAACTGCACGAGCTACAACGAACAAAAGCCTAGGTAAAGCGCTCAGTGCGAAGCCTGATGGGTGCACCGCTTCTGAAGCTGTGTGGAAAAAGTACTTTGCAGCCCCCCTTGATATTATTTGTCCACCCGCTGTCTCATTTTGAAAACAAAGTGGAAACAGTTGGCCAAGCCCTCCAGCACCCATCCTGTCTGCTGCTCCACCCTCGGGAGAAGCTGCAAGCGCCGCCAGGCCCGGGAGGTGGCAGACACAGAAGCGGGCTTCACCCGGACCCTGCACTCCTACTCCAGTCACGGTGGAGAACGGTCCCGCCTCTAAGGAGAGCAAGGCAGTAACTTAGCAAGTCCTGCCTGCTAGCATCGGGATCAAGCACCTCGGACCCCTGGGCCGTAGGCTTCGGGCTCCGGCCGTCCGCAGGGCAGCCAGGCTCCCGTCGGGGTCTGTCACTCCCGTCCTTCAGGCGCCACCTCGCTGTTTCCCTGTCTTACCACAAATCTCTGGGGCAGCTGAAGGAAGCTGCACTTAGATCACCGCTACTCATTTGCTCGTCTGCACTCGCACCGAGACTGGATTTTCCCCCAGGCGTCGTTCTCGGTGCTTTAGTCTCATTTCTCTAGCAGGATCTCAAATGACAAGTAAGCCGCACTTCTGCAAGCTGCTGACCATGCTGGCTGCCAGACGCGACCCAGACGGGCTGAGGAAAGGCCTCGCCTGGACTGCCACGCACACCTTACTCCTAAGATAACATCGAATAAAGGCAAGACAAATGAGACACACATATTCTTTTTCTTTATCAAAACTGTTAAAGACAAGCTAGTCTGAGGGCTCATTCTTTTAAAAAACAACATGGTAGCTCATGTTCAGTATGCTACAATTTTACACCGTAAGTTTTGTGCTTTTATCAGCAACAACTTCTCCCAGTACACTCCTCACGCCACATCTGACTTCCTCCAGCTGCTCTGAAGATTTAGACGGACTGCCTGCACCCAAGAGTAAGTTCCCGCAAGGATACAGCCATGCAGCACCGGGAGAGCAAATCGATGGACCTGAAATGAGGACATACAGGAAGAGTAAGCACACGTTGCCATCAACAAATACATACAGCGCATGGTATGAGGCACGCTCACCAACAGGGGAGGAGTGACCATACAAACAGCGCAAAGGCGTGCACCTCCTCAGAACTGGATTTCAAACAGGTACTTCTAACACCACGTTGGGCACTCACTATCATCACCGGGACTCGAACATTCGGACGTGGGACAGTAAGAAAACCACTGGAAGATGCAGAATGTTTCTTCACTCCTTGGAAAGGACATTCTATGCTAATACTGCTCCAATGACTCTTCCCAAACCCTCAAAGCCAATGACAACAGGCTGGATATGATGGAGCGCCCAGCTCCAGCTACTTGGGAGGCTGAGGCAAGAGGTCATGAGTGTAAGGCCAGCCCGGGCAACAGAGACTCGGAAAGTTTTATAAAAAAGTACCGTAGGGCTGGCCAAATAGCTCAGCGGACTAAAGTGCCTGCTTAGGCAGAGCGCAGCGGCCAGGGTTTGATCCCCCAGTGTGCTGTACTGGCCCCACCCCTGGAGCAAGCTGAGATGGTGACTGACACTGTACGTGGTGGTACACACCTGTAATGCCAGCACCTGGGGGGCTGAAAATATGAGAATGAGAATCAATATGATTCCTATCTATGTAGTGAGACCCTGTACTAAATATATATATTTAAAAAAAAAGAAAGTAGCCCAGAGATGTGGCTCAGCAGGCCAAGCTCAGTCTCCACAACTGCACCCCCACCCCCAAAAGAAAGACTGCACACGGATCCAACCCCACCAGTTCCCCTGCACCAAGACACTAAGCAGCGTCTCCGTCCTGAGGCTTCCCAGTGTTCCGCTTAGGGTTCCCAGCCAGCAGCGCTGCTGGGATGCAGGGCTAAGTGGAAGAAAGCGGGGATCATGAGAGCGGGGCCCCTGATGGTGGCCCTGGACCTGACCCAGGCCTCGATGTGTCTCATGCCCCATGAGGCAAGCAGCTCTGTGCCGCCACCATGGGCTGCCTGACCACAGCCCAGCAGCACAGAGCCAGCTCCAAGCTGTGAGGCTGGAAGCCCAAAGAAACTCTTCCTTGCAGGAAGTTGTATATTTCTAGTATTCCATCTCAGGAGTGGGCAGCTAACCTAAGAGATCACCAAGCAACAATGGGGCTTCTTCAGCCCGCAGGGCAGGGGGACAGGGACCTGCTCAGAGTGTGCAAGCTGAAGGTGGAATCCTTCATCCAAACCCCTGGTGACCAGGAAGCCCCATGATGTGCACTGCACTGACATCTGACAGTGACAGCGGGAAAACTCCAGCTCGTGTCCATTACCTCCGGCTGTGCAGACAGCTCTCTCAGAAGATGACCGTTCCAGACAAACCGCTGATCTGCCTGTGAGAAGAAGGAAAATGGAGTCTGCAATCTGCCATGCCGAGCCGCTACAAAAAGAGAACTCCTGCCCCATGCCCCCATTTGGGGGCTTCTGGCAGGAGCTGAACAGGGACAGGAAGTGCAGTGGTCAGCAATCCACTCATTTTGGGAAAGCCACTATCCTTGTCCTGCTCCCATCTCTGCCTCACCCCACAGGACCAGGGTCCCCCCCAGGCTTTCTCCTCACAGGAACCAATCACCAGGCATTAAAGCCCACCACGCTCCTCCACCCAGACCACTCTTGCCCCCAGACTCCTCCTAGTTTTTCCACTGGCCCCCCAGGGCTAATTAGGGAGTTTTCTTGTGTGCCTGTCTCACAATGGGTGACAAAAACCCTTTGAACTTTCTACTCTCTAAAAAATCCATGGCTTGGGCTGGTGAGATGGCTCAGTGGTCTAAAGCACCTACTTAGAACAAGCTTAGCAAAGCACAGGGACTGCGGTTCAATTCCCCAGCACCACATGCCAGCCAGCCCCGGTCCCTGGTGGGCTGAGCTGGCCACACACACACACACACACACACACACACACACACACACACACACAAAAAAAAAAAATTAAAAAAAAAAAAAAAATCCATGGCTTGTTAATAAAAAATCAAGACAGCACTTACCCAGGTTCCTGAACTGCAGCACCGTTTGGGTGAGGGCACACAGGACCTAATCTTAAAAATACTCTTGGGGCTAGGGAGCTAGCTCAGCAGTCTAAGCGCCTGCTGGCAAAAGCAAAGACCCGATTTTCATCCACGGTACTGCATGACATGCTGGCCCCAGAGCCCCAGACAGGCTGTGCTGGCCATGAAGCTGGGCGTGGCGCATGCCTGTCATCTCCAGCACCGGGGAGGCTGAGGCACAAGGATCAGTACAAGTCTGAACTGCATAGTGAGACTCTGTATCCAATAAGTAAATTGTAAAAAAATAAAAATAAAACCCTCATGTTAATGTCTCTCTCTTTCTCTAACAAAGGGTCAAGGATATAACTCAGCAGTGCACCACCTGCCTGGCAAGCGCAAGGTGTCTTCAGTTGCATTTCCAGCATGCATACACACAAAAAACCCGAGAACAAAACACTTGGGTATTTTTCTAATTCTAATATCACACTGTTACTTTTCCAAATAAAACTTGAATAGCATCTCTGCTGAAATCAACAGCTTGAAAATTGTTTTTATAAGCCCACTATGTTGATAACAATATAGGAAAATGAGAGCTAAGTGTAATGCTGGCTTGAAGATTCTACATCTCAAATTTAGTACTTGGTAGCCTAATATTTATTCAAAAACATAAATTCGTTTTTTTTTTTTTTTTTCCAAAAACATAATTTGAAAGATCTGCCTACAATTACCTACAAGTGTCTTTGGACTTAGTTCCTCAGTGCCTATACCAATGGTGGTCTTCCATCTTGTCTGTGTATGTATATAGATTCCAGGGCCTTCAATGTAGAATTCTAATACATGTTTAAACAGGTCCCAGGCATGGTGGTGTATGCCCGCTAGCCCAGATATTTTTTTTCTTTTGTATTTAGTACAGGGTCTACAGGGTCTCACTACACAGATCAAACTCATAGTGATCCTCCTGTTTTCAGCCTCCCAAGTGCTGGGATTACAGGCATGCGCCACCACGCCCAGTCTCAGTCGCTGTCTCAGCATGCCCCGAGGACCAGGCTGGCACGGCACACTGGGGCTCGATCCCTGGCCGCTGCGCTCTGCCTAAACAGATGCTTTAGTCTGCTGAGCTATCAGGCGGGCCCTCTGTCCAGATATTAAGACTGAGGCAGGAGTGTAAGAAGCTTGAGAACAGCCTATATATCTTAGACTCTATCATCGCAAAATAAAATAAAAAGCACTTGATGGTATGAGGCCCTGGGTATAACCCTTAGTACCACACACACACAAAAGGAAAGAAACATGGTTTATATTCTCAAACACCAGTACCCCTATGATCCTTATCCTAATACAGCCAAAAAATAAGAACATCCAGAATGCTGGGCATGCCAGGTTTGATGGCACATGCCTGCTCCAAGTTCAGGACCAATCTGGGCTACAAGGCAATCTCAACAATGGGGAAGCTGAGGCAGGAGGATGGCCATGAGGTCAAAGGAAGTCTGGGATACACAGTGAGTTCAAGGCCAGCCTGAACTACATAGTGAGAACACGTCTCAGAATAAGCAAACAAAAAACTATGAAACAAGAGGTTTTAAAAAATTTCAGCAAAAGCAACCTTTACTTTTAGTTTTGGACAATAATCTTAACTGGCTTTCCCAATGAATAACAAGATTGAAGCTGGTTATGTTTGAAACATAACTGCCAATGTTTGTTAATGTCCAAGGCCAGCCTAAACTGCAAAATGAGACCCTCTCTCTAAAAGACAAAAAACAAAACAAAACAGAACTTGGGGCCGCAGCAGTGCTCAGCGCAGTGCCGAGCTCAGCCCCAGCGCGGAGGAGGGGCAACGAAAGACACTAACACAAAGCTGGATGCCTGAAAAAGATACACTCCTTTACAAAAAAGAAAGGAAACCCACGCAACCCAGGAAGGCCGAGCTTACCCTCTCCAGGAGACTCATTTCCTGGAACTCGGGACTGGTGTTGGCCAGCCGCTGCAAGGTATGCGTCAGGTCGTAGGTTGTGGAGAAGTAAAAGCCGTCCACGCTCAGGACGCTGCTGAGCATCGCCAGGAATGTCTTATTATCTTGCAACTGCAAACACAGAAGGCCAGTGTCCTCGGAGTGAGGCGAGCTCAGGCAGAACGAGGAGTAAGACTAAAGCACGCACGCGCAGCCCGCTAACTGCCACTGGGCAGGGAAAGGGGTGCGGCTGCGTCCCCAGCGGGGGGCTCACTGGGCTTTCCTCCTTTGGGTGCCCTTCACAACGACGCTTACTCTGAAGGGCAGGAGAACCATGCTAACAACACACCGCTCCAGGTCACGGCCTGCTGCGTGCTGGACGCTTCACCGCAGCCCTGCTTGCGGAGCGTACCCCCGCATCTGGCCAGTGAAACACAAACGCAAGAGGGGCCAGGTGCCAGAGAACAAACAACAGACGCACGCGACCCATCCGCAAGAAACTTCACTGGCTTAACTGGAAAGAAAACACAATTAAGTTTTCTTTAAAACACAGAGGTAGAGTGTGATACGTAGCACACACTTGTAATCCCAGCAATGGGGAGGCTGAGGCAGGAGGATGGCCATGAGTTCAAAGCCAGTCTGGGATACACAGTGAGTTCAAGGCCAGCCTGAACTACACAGTGAGAACACGTCTCAGAATAAACACAAAACTATAAAACAAGGTTTAAAAAAATTTCAGTAAAAGCAGCATTTACCTTTAGTTTTGGATAATAATCTTAACTGGCTTTCCCAATGAATAACAAGATTGAAGCTGGTTATGTTTTAAACGTAACTGCCAATGTTTGTTAATGTTTCATGATTACCAAATGATTAACATGTTACAAACCTACATAATACCAATTTTTAACTTGGATTGTGGAGAATGACTATATGAGCTCAGTAATATAGTAATTAGTAAGAAACTTTACAGTATGAAACACATACTTTTCATTAAAGTGCTCCCTGCCATAATTTTATTTTTTTAAGTGCTTACCATAGATAAGGTACGCATTTTAGAAGAACAACTTTTCTTTTAGAAATAAACATTTTTGTAATCTTGGACATAAAAATACAACTTCTAACTTTTAGGAAGCAAACACTCTAAATAAACAATGACTGCACAGATGTCTACAACCATAATGTTGATTTCAAACTGTGAGGTTCCACAAACGAGAACGGGCCGGGCCATGTGCGCATCTTCTTTATGCCCATGAAGACGGCCTGCTGGGGCAGCGAGGAGCCTCCCTAAACCACCTTTACAGCTCCCACCTTAATGGAAGCTGGCGCTGGCCCATGGCTTGGCTGGGGAGATGGCTCAGTAGGATAAGCCTGGCAAGCGCAAGGTCCTGAGTTCAATCCCCAGCACCACAAAAAAAAAAAAACCTCTCCGAAGTTACAAATGCATGTGGAACTTTAAAAAAAAAAAGGTAAAAACCATACATTTTGGCCCACTAATTTGAAGCATTAGAAACATGAGAATTTAAAATACCTTATTTCTTGGGGTGGCCAGGGTTCGGCAGTATAAGCACCTGTCTGCCAAGCTCAAGGTCCCAAAGTCAATCCCAGTACTGATAAATAAATAAATTTATTTCCCATTTCTTTGTTCAGGAAAAGATCTGAATGGGGAGTTTGATCAGAGCTTGCCCTCCTCTCCTTATTGTACAGCTCAGGGTGTGGAATGCCCACGGCTGCCCGCCAGCGCGGCCTAAGGCTGGGCTGTCCCTGACCCTTCGCCCTGAGTGTAAAGGTGCTGCCCACAGGAAAGGAGTATCACCACTTCCTCCCCAGCCCTCCCTTCTACCTAGGCCTCCTCCTCCTAAATGCTGACCATGCCTCTCGCTGTGCCCTCTGCGTCTCTTCCACAGGGACAGGGCCAGCACTCCCAAAGGATGACGTCTACATTCCATGGATGTTTGATCTCAATTTCACTTCCAAAGGTGGCATTTCTGGTTTCTTTTCATTTATTTATTTCATGTATGTATTTGGTACAGAGTCTTACTATGCAGCTGAGGCTCGTAGTGATCCTCTTGCTTTCAGCCTCCCCAGTGCTGGGATTTCAGGTGTGTGCTACCTCACCCAGACTTGGTCACCAGCTCTGCCCACCCCGGGGGCGGGGACAGCACAGCATGCAGGACCAGGGATCGAACCCTGGTCCCTGCACTTGCCAAAGCAGGCACTTAGTCCACTGAGCTATCTTCATCGGCCTTCATTTATTTCGCTAGGCTAATTCTTCAGCCAACGATTTTTGGTAAATAAAATTTAAATCATGTTATCGGAGGACTGGTATTACCTAAATCAAAGAACTAAAATTTCTGCATAAGAATCAGGCAGAGCGAGAGGACTGCCTGAAAACACTGCCCCACATGCACAGGTGCCTGCACTAGCACGTGCTGGAAGGTGAGAAAACCTTCTCTGGGCAAAGGGTGAAATAAGTAGTTTTAAAAGATATATATTCTATTAAGAGAGATGGGGGCCAGGGAGATGGCTCAGTAGGATAAGCGCTTCCCTGGCAAGCGCAAGGGGCTGAGTTCAATCCCTGGTTCCACCAAA